TTGGAGACTCTAGGTGACATGGCTCAGAATCGATCACAATGGCGTAGGTGTATACACTCTTTATCTTCCCTTAAACCTTGAGATTAAAATTGCTTCATATCTCTCTTCCTTCCTGTACTATATCCTTCTATACAATCTTTCTTTATATACTACCATCACTAAATTAATTGCTTCTATGAATCCGGTGTTCATCTTGTTGTGCTAAAGAGGTATGGCAACTTGGACCGATGCATAAATGTGCCTGGTCCTACGTTGTAGCTGACTGACTGACTGACTGGTGGACACGGAGGGTCCACCTAGGGGAGTTGGAAAACCCTGATTCCAAACCAATGGTGCACATGGGCTCCAGTATCCTGACGGAACGAATGGCGGAAGAACCTGCTGTTGGTCAACGGCAACCATGGGACTGCATATCCTCACGATGCTCCACTGCCTTGTGGATTAGACCTTTAGGTCAAAGGCTCGGGGTGTGGTCCCCTAAGAAAACCACCTGCTTCGGTTTGGGCACCCGGGCAGTATCACAGCCCACACACAAACAAATGAATGAAATTATGAACTCTATTGACGATATCCCTGGTCATACTAAAAGCAAGACAATTAACATTATTATTATTATTACCTTTATTATTATTATTATTATTATTATTATTATTATTATTATTACTTACCATATCGCTAATTCACCCCCTTTTATCCCCAATTTGTGTAACCTTACTCTTCAACTTATGCAGCAGCTCGCTCTTGGTGGAAAATCTGTCCTATCTAAACGTTCTCCAGTCACTGTCTGGTTGAAAGTGAATGCTTCCACCGATTATGAATACTGAGGCAGTCTTTCTGAAACCACGTACGCCGTTCAAGCTGGCTTCCTTCAACGTTCGCACACTAATGCATATCAGACAACAGATAGGGCTGGCTATGTCTTTGGAAGGTCTTAATGTTGACGTTTGTTGTCTATCCGAGACCTGTATTCAAGACTCTAGTGAAGTACTACAAATCCGCTCTCCATCTGTCGCCTCGAAAAGCTTGTTCCACGTGCGCTTATCCGGGGACCCTGTGGCATCTTCGTCTGGTCTTGCTGGCGTTGGTGTCGCACTAAGCGCTAGAGCTGAGGCAGCACTAATCGATTGGATCCCCATTAACAGTCGGTTATGTGCTGTTAGATTAGAAAGTTCCATCAAAGTGAGAAGAAACCGGCGTGAGAAACGGTGTCTTTTCGTCATCTCCGCCTATGCCCCGACAGATTGCAGCCCGGATGCAATCAAGGATGAGTTTTACCATCAGTTAACAGTTCTTCTCCAGAAAGCGCGTTCGACAGATATTGTAGTACTAGCCGGAGACTTGAATGCACAGGTCGGGCATCTAGGCACAGAAGAGAGTCGTTTAGGTGGCCGATGGGGACTTGTTGGTCGCAGGACAGATAACGGGGACCGTTTGCTGCAACTGTGCACAGACCACAACCTGTTTCTGGCCAGCACTAACTTCCGGCACAGTCATCGCCGGTGTGCCACCTGGCGTCCTCCCTCTGCATCCCAAGCCTGGACTCAGATTGATCACATCGCGATCAGCTACCGCTGGCGTGGTTGTGTACAAGACTGCCGCTCCTTTTGGAGTACCTATCTGGAGTGTGATCATGCCCTGGTCTGCGCCAATCTCACCTTACTTTTCAGTGGCCGAAGGATTGACCACCACCAACGGATTGATATTAGTAAACTGGCTGCAACTTCTGTTGCAAGTAAGTATCGAGCGGAGTTAGCCTCTAGGCTAGCTACCACCCCACCGAAAAGTATAGACGAGCATTGGTTGCATCTTCACGACGCCATGAAAATGGCGAGTAAAGCCGCTTGCGGCTTCGCGAAACGTCCCGCTTACAAGCACTGGGTCTCTTCTGGCTCCTTACAACTGATGGAAGCCCGTCGGTCTACTCCGGGTGACCGTGAGTTTGACCACAAACGAAGGCTGTTACGTAATGAAATCGAGCAAAGCTTGTGTAAGGACCGGGAAGCCTGGTGGTCGGAGCGTGCTAATGAGATGGAAGCAGCAGCTGCATCTGGTAACTGCCGGAAGCTCTTCCAACTCATCCGAGACACTGGCAGCAAGAAGTCTGGTGTGAGTGAAACAATCTACGAGGATGACGGGATGCCAATCACTAACATCTCCCGACGTCTTGGACGATGGGCGGAATTTTTCGAAGGGCAGTTCAACTGGCCTGCTGCTCCGGCAACATCAACCAGCTTGTCCTGCTCCCCATGGCCGGTGACGACTGATCCACCAAACGAGGCGGAAGTCCTCAAGGAACTCCAACTCTTGAAACGTTACAAATCACCTGGCCCAGATGACTTACCTCCGGCTCTTTTTAAAGATGGTGGTGACTTTCTGGCTAAGGAACTGACGGTGTTGTTTGGAAAGGTTTGGGAGCAAGAAAGTGTTCCAACATCATGGAATGAGTCAATAGTCGTCCCTATCTTCAAAAAGGGTTCACGTTGTTCCTGCAATAACTACCGGGGTATAAGTCTACTTCCGATTGCGTCCAAACTATTGGCTTCTATCATTCTTCGTAGGTTGTTTAAAACCCGAGAACGATTGACTCGCGAGGAGCAGGCTGGTTTTCGTTCTGGTCGAGGATGCATTGATCACATCTTCACCCTCCGCCAAATGTTAGAACACCGTCATACTTATCGCAGGCCAACAATCGTAGTGTTTCTTGATATCAGAGCGGCCTTCGATTCGTTGGACAGGACTGTTCTCTGGGATTGTCTATTGAAGAAGGGTGTGCCTGAGAAGTTCATTAACATCTTAAAGGCCCTGTATACGAACACCTCAGGCAGAGTGAGGGCATACAACCACCTTTCTCCCTTGTTCCATTCGAGCAGTGGGGTTAGGCAGGGTTGCCCGATCTCACCATTCCTCTTCAACTTTGCCATCGACGACATCTTGGAAACAGCTCTGATGGATGTAAGTAATGGCGGTGTGGATATGTTGCCTGGAGAACGACTTCTCGACCTTGAGTATGCGGATGATATTGTCTTACTGTGCGATAATGCCCAAGGCATGCAATCAGCACTTAATCAGTTGGCAATCAGTGTCCGCAGGTACGGCATGTGCTTTGCACCCTCCAAGTGCAAAGTACTCCTACAAGACTGGCAGGATTCTAATCCTGTACTCACCCTGGATGGTGAGCAGATCGAAGTAGTTGAGAAGTTCGTGTATCTAGGTAGCTATATAAGTGCTGGTGGTGGCGTGAGTGATGAGATTGATGCACGTATAATGAAAGCCAGATCGGCTTATGCCAATCTGGGCCATCTTTGGCGCCTTCGTGATGTTAGTCTGGCTGCAAACGGTCGGATCTACAACGCGTCGGTGAGAGCAGTTCTGCTCTATGCTTGTGAAACCTGGCCTCTCCGAGTTGAGGATGTTAGACGTCTCTCTGTGTTCGATCATCGTTGTCTCCGAAGGATTGCTGACATCCAGTGGCAACACCATGTTAGTAATGCAGAGGTTCGGCATCGTGTGTTCGGGCGCAGAGACGATAATTCAATTGGTGTCACCATCTTGAAACACCGACTTCGGTGGCTTGGACATGTTTTACGAATGTCGTCCAAGAGACTTCCACGTCGTGCATTATTTGCCGACCCTGGGACTGGTTGGAGAAAGCGGAGAGGAGGTCAGTGTATGACATGGTGTCATGGCATGAAAGAAAGCTGCAAAGGGCTAGCTTTTGTTGGTCCTTCACGACTCCCTGATTGGGGTCCGAGAGATAGTGCAACACAGTGGCTAGAGACGTTATCGGATATGGCTCAGAATAGAAGCCAGTGGCGATCCTGCTGCAACCTTCTTTTACTTTCTACATAAAGAATGGTTCTAACTTTCCTAACTGAAAGAATCTTCTGGTTGTACATTTCAGCCCGCCTTATCTTTTCATCCTTTATCTACCTACTTTCATTATTTTGTGTGGCGCATATGTACCTGGTGCCCTTTTGTACCAATATATATGTGTTTAAATAAATAAATAAATAAATAAATTGTTTAGTACTCACTTTACATGCTCGTCGATGGTCCGAAAACCATCTCAACTTGCACTTCTATTTTCACGTCAAATAAAAACAAATTAACAGCTGGTATTAACTATTAACAACGCCATAATTTTTCCATGCAGTCCCCCAAATGTCCTGGTAGGGCTGAGAGTCGGGAGAGTCCGCTCTCCCTCTCCGAATGCTCTCACATGGCCACGCGAATATAGCCTCTGCCAGAGAAGTCCTACTCACTGCCTTCTCGTGGCATTACTGTTGTTTACGAAATTGGGAGGACGAAAAGCGAATGTCCGACGCTTTACCCGGAAAGGTGGACACGGAAAGTTCACCTAGGAGAGTTGGAAAACCCTGATTGCAAACCAATGGTCCACATGGGCTGGCTCCAGTATCCTGAGGGAACAAATGGAGTATGAATCAATCGTTTGTGACCGGCTACCATGGGACTGCATCTCCTCACGATGCTCCACTACTTTGTGGATCGGATCTTTAGGTGAAAGGGTCCGGGTGTGGCTCCCTAGGAAAACCGTCTGCTTCGGTTTGGGCATACGAAAATACTCGTATTAATTAATTTGTAATGGTTCGAGTTATCTCGGTATTTTTCGACTGAATTTTGCTTGGCATATGTCCATCCTGTGCGGATTGTCTCAACATAGTTGTTATAGCATATATTTACACAGAATAGATGGAATATGGCTAGCAGTAGAATCTAGGATGAACGTTTTTTCCTGTTTTCGTCTCATCAGCTAAATGTACCTCCATTCCCGAGTTAGTGTTCATTCTAGGATTCGAACTTACTACCTTTCTTTCGCGGGTACAGGTATGTCTGGCCAATGCGTCTTAAATAGGATAAAACGCACGTTCTGTATTCCATTGCTAGTTATGTTTCGTATATTCTACCCCTATACATTGTTGTCTTTTCTGATTGTTGAGCACATCATAGTTAGTGCTTTTCCATTTTCCAAATTAATTTAGCTGACTCTCTTTATGCCAGTACTACTAACCCGTCAATCTCAGATGAAGAAATGCAACACTGTTTGACTAATTCTACATTTTCCAAACAAATCAAAGGAAACATACTACATCTTCTATCCTTAATTAGTGAGGAATTTACAACAGCCCAGTTAACTCATAGTGTTAAATGTGTTATCAAAGAAAGTATTCATTCTGATGAAATTTTAGTCAGAAATATTCTAAAGGTATGGAAATCTAGAGTCATTAAATTATTATTTTTAAAGATATTTTTCTAACGATTGGAATGTCAGTAAGTGAGTAGTGTACCACTTCCATCTGTTTGTTTACTATTCAGCAAGCAAAACCATCCAGTCACTAGATTGGTACCAGTGATATTCATTTAACCATTACGACAACTGGGAGTTTTTGGTTCGGTTGCTAACAGGTTTGACGTTAGGTAGTGCTATAAAGCAAGTTTGTAGTTGGTTTTGATCAGTGATAAAAGCCATATTCAACTTCATTGATTTTATTACAGTTCAGAGGTTTTCCCCAAATGGTTGCATAAAACTATTATTTTACATCGAGATGTTTGAAACCGACAGAAACCCTAGAAGTGTTCTGGGCGGAATTTCCTTGTTTCTTGATAATTTTAAAGTATTCTGTGTGAAGATACACATTTTGTCCTGATGTTAGGATTTACTAATATCACGTAACCTTATATGGTTTCTATCTTGTTGATGCCGGTTATATTCCGTTAGCATTCAAAATCTCTTTTGATTACTCTGTATTACCTCGTCGATTGTGTGACTGTATTTTATCTGCTCAGCTCTCAATCTTCTGTTGTTCAGGCAGAATAATGGTGCCACTAACCCTGAAACAGATATTGTAGCTTAAAAGTTTACGACATGACAACCTTTCAACTGATTATAGACTTTCTTTGGATCTGTTTCGGCGATTCAGGTATACCTAATTCTTAGACGTAGAGTCATAAGTTTTAATTTCTTCACATTGACTTTAGTTCTGAAACGTGGGTGCTAGAATTAACTTTCATACAATAAGTGTTTCACAGCTTTTAAAACAAAGTAGTCTGGAATCACAGATCAAAATTTTTGTGTTAGTATTTCTAGTGCTGAATTCATTATTGTCGGTTAATATGTTGACTAAGTAGTTGAGTTGCTCGACTTTTGATTACTGGATTACAAGTTCATAGCTTACTACACTTTGACTGGACTATCCAGTTAGTATTAGTAGTCATCACAAAAATAAATATGCTTCAAGCCTTGGGTATCACTTTGTATTATGTGGTTCTTTTTCTGAGTTGTTTTGCCTTCGGTCATATCTTGAAGCTGATAAAGAATGTCATTTTACATCTAATCGTGCTGAGGTATCATAAGCTTGATATTATCTACATCCGATGGACTTTTGGTGTTCTCATAGAGACTCACATTGGACTTGTGGTTGTAAACACTGATCAGGAACCGAACTACTAAATTACCACTTATATTCTCAGTGAGTATCAGTTATCAGAAGAGGTATGTTATTATTTGCTGATTTACTAGACCAGACTTATCTGTATATAACTTGAATTATCTTGCATATTAACTGACTTTTCAAATCTTGTCATGGTTTCAGCAATTTATTAACGATGTAAATCATGAGGAAATTCGTTCACTAGCTATTCATACTTCTGCTATATGGATGTCTAATTTTGTCCCAAATAATTGCCATTCATCGTCAGCTGATAGTTATTTAGATATTGTACATATGATCTACAATTCAATGCAATATTCTGAAGACTTTTATTTAACTGGAATAAATGCTTTAATAAATATATTTGAATCCGATGGTGTTGGACTAAAGTAAGACTTTGTTTTACTCATCATTATATTTATGTTGTCTTTCCCAATCTATCTGATCAGTTTATTATTTATTGGTCTCCTGATTGTAATCAAGGAAAGAGTGTTATATTTTGTGTTAGAGTAAGGGTTAGTTTTAATTTATTGATTATATTTCTGTGGTTTCAACATACTACTTCATTTATCAGAAAAGCGTCTTCTTTTGCCTTTCCATTTAGTTCTAGACTAGAAATACAAATACAAATATACATATGCGCCGCACGAATTTCATTTGATTTGTGTGAAGGCTGTGATACTGCCCGCCTGCCCAAACCGAAGCAGGTGGTTTTCTTAGAAGACCACACCCCGAGCCTTTGACCTGAAGATCTGATCCACGAGGCAATGGAGCATCGTAAGGAGATGCAGTTCCATGGTAGCCGGTCACAAACGATTGATTCATACGCCATTTGTTCCCTCAGGATACTGGAGCCAGCCCATGTGCACCATTGGTTTGCAATCAGGGTTTTCCAGCTCCTCTAGGTGGACGCGCCGAGTCCACCGACCCGGTTAAAGTGCTGAGCATTCGCTTTTCGTCCTCCCAATTTTGTAAACAACAGTAATGCTACTAGAAGGCAGTGAGTAGGATTTCCTTGTCAGAGGCTATACACGCGTGGCGATGTGAGAGCATTTGGAGAGGGAGAACGAACTCTCCTCACTCTCGGCCGTACCAGGGCATTCGGGGGCAATACAAATACAATGTAAATACAAATTTAAATCATCAGATTATTGTGGTTACCATGTCCTCATTAAGTGAAATTGAGGTCTAGGTGCCATTAAGTGTAAATTTTTAACCTAGAAGTGAAAAGATGTGGCTTCTGGTCTTTGACTGTCGATCTCAATTGTGACATTTTAGGGAAAATGCAGTTATTCTAATGCAATACACGGAAACCAGCAGCACATACGTATCTGCTTAAACCTTGGCGAGTGGAGAATGATTTCTTGCTTATAACAAGATAGATTGTTTAAACGACCAAGCTACATCTCTGGTTTATGGTGCAGAAATCATGTGCTTGCTGAAAATTACATGAAATGGTACTATTGTCTCATTAGTATATACTTTTATTCCCCTTAGTGATATGCTACTCTCCTCTCTTTATTTTAATTCCCTAATTATTCCAGTTCAGATAGAGACAAAGGGTTTTTACTTGATTTTCATGTCTCCGAATTGACGAAGTTCAAGTATACTTTACAACATCTTGTTGAATTACATTCAGTAAATCTTCAAAATGGTATTCAATGGAATGAATGTAAAGAATATGAAGCATTAAACAAAACTGTACTACTTTTATCAATCTTATCGGAGAAACAGGTGTTTATATTTGTATAACTATATGATTGTTATGATAATAGGCCTATACATGTTATCTCTCATATTTTGGTGGATGGAAACTATTTCCAATATCTTATGGTATTTAAAATATTATTTAGACCTAAAGTGAAAATGACCTTTCAGATAATAATGAAAGAGGTAATCAAAAGGGGTTTTGTGGCGATTTCAGTATTTTCATCGTTGAAATCATGAGTCAATTGAAGCTAGACCACCAGGGAAAACCTGGAAGTACTGGACGGCCGTTTCGTCCTATTATGGGACTCCTCAGTGGAAGTGCGCATCCACGATCTCGCCTCGTGAGATCCGAACTCAGGACCTATCAGTCTCGCGTTAGAGCACTTAACCGATAAACCACTAAGCCGGCATTCAACGGTGTTGATGTCTAACTTCAACCAACCCACAAAGTTTGAGCAACCATTCACCAATTGTCTCCTGAAGACAATTGGTACTTCCAGGTTTTCCATAGTGGTCTAGCTTCAATTGACTTATGATTTCAACTATGAAAAGAAGTAATCGTTTATTGACCTTTATGTTACATTTTACTTGGCAATATGTACTTCATCTATGACCATCGAACTGCTTGACCATATTTTTTTTAGTAACTTGTCGTCATACCTTATGGCTCAGTTGAAAATCAAGATTGTTTATATTGTAGTGAATGAGAACACGAGTGGGAACAATCGAATATATTTGACACAAAATTACAGACTATCTCACTAGAATCTGACAACCATACAGTAAACAGTTAATTTGCAAACTATCAATCAATTGTCTCAATCTTGACTGTTCCTTCTGCAAATATCAGTTCATCTTCTCTGATTTCATTGTTCATGCATTTTCATACCAATTGTGTTCCGTTCCCGTCTTTTCCTTATCAATCTCCTGCTGAAATACATTCAATGCTTGACCATTGTTATATACTACTTATGTTGATATAAGTAACCCACACCACAATATTATGGTATGATAAATAAAGTAGATATCATCCTTAGTTTAAGTAATGTACCAAAGCTCAGGAAAAGAATAATAAGATCGGCGAACTATGTACGATGTCTTTTGGTATTCGAAATAAGTCAAACGAGATCAGCTGACAACACAGACTTATTTATTTCAGAAAGAATCCATATCAGTTTAACGTTTATGTTATATCACTGATTAGTTATTAATTCAATTCCTTATTTAAGTATGATTCTCATGCTAAAATGGACTAGATAGAATTTTTATAAAAACGTAATACACTTTTTAGTAGAATAATACTCATATGAAATTAACCATCTCAGGGGTATGTCACTGACTCAATTTCATTTTCAATGGTTTTGATGGTTTTCATTAGGTTCTTTTTTAATGAACAATAAGTAGTCAGTTCTAAATACACCTAATAGTCGAATAACTAAATGCTCTAATTAAGTTATATCTGGAGACTTTTTGTTATGTTTGATATCTGGTACGGCCGAGAGTGGAGAGAGTCCGCTCTCTCTCTCCGAATGCTCTCATATGGCCACGCGTGTATAGCCTCTACCAGTGAAGTTCTACTGACTGCCTTCTCGCGGTGAGGATGTTATTTACGAAATTCAGAGGACGAAAAGCGAATGTCCGGCGCTTTAACCGGGTTGCTGGAAGCAGAGGATCTACCTAAGGGAGTTGGAAAACCCTCATTCCAAACCAACGGTGCACATGGGCTGGCTCCAGTATCCTGAGAGAACAAACGGCGTATGAACCGATCGTTGGTGACCGGCTACCATGGGACTGCATCTCTTTACGACGCTCCATTGCCTTGTGGATCAGATCTTTAGGTGAAAGGGTCCGGGTGTGGCTCCCTAGGAAAACCACCTGCTTCAGTTTGGGCACCTGGGCAGTATCACAGCCCTCACAAAAATCAAATGAGATTTGTGTAGCGCATATATATCTGGTGCCCCATTGTACCAATATTTATGTGTTTGAATAAATAAATAAATAAGGAAACATTAGTCTCTAGTATCAAAAATTATACTATTTAATATGTTTAAGCAAACGTATTTGTGAATAGAGTAAATATTAGACTATCAAAGTTCAGTTAGTTCACTGATAGAAATCTTTTCGCCTCATATAAATCATCTTCATATACCTTAGTCAGTCAGTCAGTCACAACGTAGAACTTCGTACGTACGTACATCAGTTCGAGTTGTCATACCACATTAGCACAGATATGAAGTTGACCTTAACATAAGTTTAGGTTATATTCTATTACACAAGATACGTATTTTTCCGGCTCCCCTATATTTTGTTCATTGCTTATATTCTTCTACTTATTTTAAGGCTTTGTATTATATAGACTTTCATCATCTTATTTTATCGTTTTGTTTAGATGGATTATCTCATTCATCGACTTAGTAACTCCTGCGATAATACCACTAATCAGTATATTCATGAATTATTTGATATGTTTCTATTGACATTTTCACTAACTGGTCATTATCCATACGATGAAGATATCAGTGATGTTGCTTTACAAATATGGTTAAATATTTATGAAGCATCCATTAGCACAACCGCCTATACCGTCAGTAATGTTCACGATGAAGATGCAATCAAACGTATCCATACGGAATTACTTCAACGCGCATTTATTAAAGTAGGTTGAATAATTTGTTTCTGTAATGCTAGTAACAATAATAATGAAAAGAAAAAAATCTTATACACTAGTTGTTATGCAAGATCTTGTCCATGACTGTCTATATTGAGTTAAGTTGACATAAAACATTAGTCATAAAGTAGTTCGAATGAGTCATGTTCAGATAGCCAACCTGCGACTTTTTATGATTTTTATGCGTAGTATTTGCTCTTAAGGTTAGATTTTAGTTGGTACTATAGTGTGGTCTGCTTATATCCTTATAAGTAGTATATGGTGATGGTCAGACATAAAATGTATTTTGGAAGAAGACCGATAAAGAAAGAACTGAAATGAAGCGCAATTGATAGGAAAATGCATGCACAATGGAATTAGGGAAGATGAATCTATAGTTATAGAAGGACAGTGAAGATTGAGACAATTGGTTGTTCTTTTGCAAATGCCACTGGCAGCAGGAAGTCTGGTGTGAGTGAAACAATCTGCGAGGATGACGGGATGCCAATCACCAATATCAGTCGACGTCTTGGACGATGGGCGGAATTCTTTGAAGGGAAGTTCAACTGACCTGCTGCCCCGGCAACATCGACCAGTTTGTCCTGCCCCTCATGGCCGTTGACGACTGATCCACCAAACGAGGCGGAAGTCCGCAAGGAACTCCAACTCTTGAAACGCTACAAATCACCGGGCCCAGATGACTTACCTCCGGCTCTTTTTAAAGATGGTGGTGACTTTCTGACTAAGGAATTGACTGTGTTGCTTGCAAAGGTTTGGGAGAAAGAAAGTGTTCCAACATCATGGAATGAGTCGATAGTCGTCCCTATCTTTAAAAAGGGTTCACGTTCTTCCAGTAATAACTATCGGGGGATAAGTCTACTTCCGATTGCGTCCAAACTATTGGCTTCTATCATTCTTCGTAAGTTGTTTAAAACCCGAGAACGATTGACTCGCGAGGAGCAGGCTGGTTTTCGTTCTGGTCGAGGATGCATTGATCACATCTTCACCCTCCGCCAAATGTTAGAACGCCGTCATACTTATCGCAGGCTAACATTCGTAGTGTTTCTTGATATCAGAGCTGCCTTCGATTCATTGTATCAACTGTTACCTCGACCTTTCGCTCTGCAATATTATTATAACTTTTACAATATGATAATCCCATATAACTGACCCCTATTGTTAGGCTTACAGTAATTGCTAGTTACAATACAACCAGGATTTTTCCAGTATGAAAGACAGGAGAAGTAAATTGTGTGGGCGACCTTGTAGATCCTTAAAATGACCCTGAGTGACACATTAACCAGTCGGAAAGGCGTATGATTATTAAGCAGTTTATAATAAAAACATGATAAATTTACAAAGATTAAGGTGTTTTGACACAAATGATGAACCTTTTCGTGTGAGTTGTTACATGTTATCCGTCATTGTGTTTGAATTCCGCTTTAAAATCAAGTAGCATCGCTTTTTAATACTATTATATGTCGATAGGTTGTACACATAGTTTACTTCTGCTCTAATTGGTTCTCTGACTGATTCGACAAAACGGCAGCTGACATGTAACATTTCGACATTAGTAATTTACACATTATTATGCAATGGAAAAGACGAAACATTAAATGTAAAGTATGGATTTGGATGATCTTGAGGTTCTAACCCATTTTAGTCAATTAGGAGACAACAAAGATAATCAGATGACATTATGTTTGAAATGAAGATGAAGATCTGGGTTTTCGAATCTTCCCACCAGAGCTGGTATCACTTCATGATGAGAACCGTAATCCGGCAAGACTATAGTTGTTGAATGAACCTATCAGATTTAAAATTGCCGCTCTTGGACATTTGCACGAGGTTTATTCATCTCAGTCAGTCACAACGTAAAATCTGCACATATGTACATAGGTTCAAGTCGCTATACTCCCTTAGCACACCGAGGTGAAATTATCAGACCAAACTTCAGAATAGTAGACATAGTAACAATCTCAATAGTAATAGGAAAGATTAGGCATCGAAAATACGACTCGAAAAGACAAAACAAACTAGCGAAACAGAAACAAAAATGTTATGGAAATTTAGAATCCTAGAATTTAGGGGAAGGCAAAGAATGGATGCACCTGCAGCATTGCAAATGATTTTGAACCATGTCATTCAAAGTCTCCAACTATTAGTTACTATAGTCACGTGGACCCTAAGCAGGTAATCTGTATCTATAAACATGACTAAGCCCAATTGTCAGCAACCTCATGGACTGGCGCCATGTTTTGGTTTGACCGCCCCCTAGCTTTCTTTCAGCCTGATCTTGCACCAGAAAATATCACCCGTTGAGGTAGGCGGTGGTTGGACATATGTAACACATCTTTCAACCACCTTAGTTGATGAAGATTTACTACCTCATCAATCGATTTACTATCTTTGCTTAGTATTATATTCCTTACTCATGTATCGCCTACTCTGTGGTCCGCTGTCACTATCTGTACAGTCTGGAGTATGAATTCACACTCGGGCCTTAAGTTGCTGCTTTTAGCCTTATCGTTCTCCTATTTTATATTTTCATATACAAAAATCTCCGAGTAGCGAAGAGAGTTTTTTGTTTAACCGACCTTGAGTTCGTTATCCACCTGAATTTGACAATGTTAATAGATGCAGACTACTTGGATGGAGTCCTTGCGATAACCGCTATCTGTATCTAAAGATTTTAGGTAACAGCTCAGAGTCTCTCACAATGATGCAGATGCACTCTTTATCTACCTCTCGATCTGGAGTTCTAGTGTTCCTTTATTGACATCCTCCCACTTTTTATTTTCGGAATGTTTTCTGAATGCGTAGTATTTTTCGTACTGATTGTGAGGTAGGGGAATTCGGGTCAACGTATATCTTCATTGATTGTACTCTAATAAATATTTCAGCGTATAAATTCTCACAGTATGTTAATATTTATCATGCCATTTCCAGTCCCATTATCCAAAAGATTTAAATCAATATTATACTGCATGGAACCAAGAGGATAGAGATCGTTGGTTGAAATTTCGTCAAGAACTCAGTAGCTGTTTTCTCTCAGTGTTCAGATATTTGAATTTGTATGACTGGTTCCGTCAGGCAACTAATCAGCTTCAATCTACTATATGCAACTGTACAAATGAAGAATTGCTAGCTAATTGGCAGGTTTGTATGTTTTGGTGGTTGCCTTTTTATTTTTTTGTTTTTTTACTCAACGGATTCTATGTAATGTCTTGGTTGACAATCCAGTGTGCTTTAAAAAATAGTGGTTGTTTTCTTACATCAAATAAACGTATTTGTCTAAATTTGTTTGAAATAGATTTAGACAATTACAGTGAAGATGGGTATTGCAGGTGAATGTAGTCAATTACTAAACAGGTCTCTTCCACTATTGGAATTCTACAAAAAATACTAGTCATTCAGTAAATGGGTGCTGGAACCTATTCGAACTAAACTAAATAGTCCTGCATTAATTTTCACAAAACTTTACCGTTCTCATTTTTTTCGTGATGGTAGGAGTTTGTCTGTTGTTGAAGCTTCTTTCATCAGTAGGTGGGATCATTGGCTATTTACCAGAGGTGTATTGAAATATGTAAGTTTCTTGGTTGTGGTGAAAAAAATGATCGCAATCTGTGTTTAAAAATCTTCAATGTCATGACTCAAAATTTGTTGCAATAATGTAGATGGTTAAGGCTTATGACGTGTATTCGTTCTATGATGATCAGCATACGAGAAGGTTTAACGGGAGCTTAGAATGATCAGACAGAAACTGTCTGCCTTTAAGATTACTTACCGTGAAATTAGTCACGATGACACATAAACTCAATTCATATCACCAACTTTAATACTTACACTTTCCCTATTCCGACTACATCCGTTCTGTCTGGACTAAATTTCCTGTGTTTAGTTCCCAACTACAATCGGTATTATTATTTCAGTTCATTTGCTCATCATCATGTTAGTTTCCTCATGTCAGGTTGATTTGAATTTCGGTAAGTAAAGGCAATGTTTGTTTGTTCTAAATCCAATGTTTATGACTGACCTGTTGGCAAAGGAACGACAAGCAAATCTTGAATATCATGACTCGAAATAGACTTCAATAGTGCAAATGCGTCAATTATTTACCTTCCTCCAAATCTTTAACATTATTATTCTATACTTTTGGTTTCTCAACTTCAGCCATTTGTTTGATGTTTGTTTCTGTATTTAAGGTTTTTCATCACCGCTGGTGTTATATTACTATCATTTTCGCTGCTTAGATTTTCTTCTTCTCGATTTCTTTTTGTTGGTGTAGAATAAAGTGTACCAACTTGAGGTTATACAAATTCGTGTTGCATCTTATATTGCACATCTCTATCTATTTGAATTCTATTAATCAACTTAATAGTTGTATCACTAGACTAAATTACTGGATGTCACAATCTACTGCACGTAGTGTCATATAGTTCAGTAATGCAAATAATCCAATAGTAATAGCATATATGAGTAATTACTGATTGTCGCAAATGCATTAAAGGCATGTTAAAATCAAAACGTCTATGTCTTCCACATATATGCTTTCTTAGATGATAGCTCACCTTAAGACATAATAGTAGATATTTTGCATTCTTTTTGTCTCATTCACTTATATAGATGTAGTTAAACAATTCAATGACCCCCAAATGCCTTGGTACGGCTGAGGGTAGGGAGAGTCAACTCTCCCTCTCGAAATGCTCTCACATGGCCACGCGTATATAGCCTCTGCCATACAAGTCCTACTCACTGCCTTCTCGCGGTGAGGATGTTATTTACGAAATTGAGAGGACGAAAAGGGAATGTCCGTCGCTTTAACCGAGTTTGTGGACACTGAAAATCTACCTAGGGGAGTTGGGAAACCTTGATTCCAAACCAATTGTGCATATGGGTTCCCAGTGTTCTAAGGGAACGAATGGCGTATGAATTAATTGTTGGTTAGCGGATACCCTGGGACTAGATGACCTGACTTTGCTTCACTTCCTTATGGATCAGATCTTTAGGCCCAAGGCTCCGGGTGTTGCCCCGTAAGAAAACCACCTGCTTCAGTTTAGGCACCTGGACAGTATCATAGCACACACACAAATCAGTTGACTTCTATGGCGCATTTGTATTCGGTGCCCCCTTTGTACTAATATTTATGTGTTCAAATAATAATAATAATAATAATAATAATAATAATAATAATAATCATAAATATGGGTTAGATAGGGGGGAAAGATATATGATAGTGCAATTCGATCAAGTGGAAGACTAAATTGTATGAAAAATTAGTAAGACGTAATAAGGAGGGATTAATCCGATGTGAATGAATCACGTATAGTGGAGATTAATAATGGTGTTTAACCAATAATAATAATGATAATAGTATAAATATTTGTGAATAAAGATAAGAGAGACAATTACATTTGACTACGAAAGATCGTAAGTACAATAATCAAATTAGGTCATCCATTAGCTAAGATTACTATTGATTAATTGACCTTGTGGTTGGTTGGCCAAGGGAGGAACAAAGATTGGAGATATTTCTCCTCCATACATAGCTCTGGTTTCTTCATCCTGATGGCTACTGTTGTGTGTTGACCTATCCGTCGCCAATTGTTATGTCTTGATCAAGGTTGTAGCCAATTGTTGTGACTTGCTCAAGGTCGTCGCTAAATTGATATGACCCTACAACTTAAACGAGGACGTAACTCGTGTGAATTATCCACCAATAGAATGCGACTTCTACGACCTTAACATGGTGACAATCAAGGACGTCTAATCAGTATGAGTAATCTCGCGTCCCTATTGGTCCTTAATCCGCCTCGCCCGTCCACTTGAGTCCAGAACATCAATAGCAGCTTCTGCTATGCGAATCATTTATTTCAAACATACTCTGTTTATATATCAGACAGACAGGCCACAACATACCATAAAATAGAAAATAATATTTGTACAAGATCAAGCGAAATGTGGCTGTGAACGTGGGATACAATAATCAATAAACTGGGTATAGTTTAGGAACAGTAAATGATACAATAATAATCAATAGGTCAAAATGAAGCTTATAATAAGATGAATATAGATATACATAATCTAATTACTCAATAGTTAAACAATCAGAATATATATAGAATAGTCATCCATTAATAGGTCCCGGAAGTTACCCGTACTTATGTCTTCACTAAGATATAACAGCTACTGCCTCAGCCATTTAAAAGGACTTTAATAATAATCCATTGAATGTTTTTTTTTTCTCCTTAACACTTAGGAATCTGAAGCTCTACTTTTTATTCTATCATCAATTAGTGAACATGTATTATATAAAAATGAATCACAAATAATCCCTTTATTAAATTTTGCTTATATCATATCAACTATTATATTGAATTATATTAATAAATTAGAACAATATATTACATATTCAATGAATTATGATATTCTTATTCATTGCCAAAAACAATCATTACCATCACCCCCACTACCACCACCACCACAACAACAACAAGAACAACATCATCATCACCACCACCACCACCAACAACATCCTCCTCCTCCTCAAATTTTTATATTATGTAAAATTGTATTATTATGTATAGAAAATTATTATTCTATTATAGTAACCATGGATACATTATTTGAAATTAATCTAATTAAATTTATTTTAAATTCATTACTACTATCTACTTATATTACTACTAATGAAAATTATCAAAATGATTTAATTGAATTATGTCATATCTCACTTCGTGTAATTCAAATTATAATAAAGGTAATCAAAAAATATATTTTATATTATAATTTCATATCATAATTCATCTTGTTTTAGTTTTTTAAAGATAGTTAAATGATCTGTCTTATGGTCATAGATAGTTATAAAAGATTATTACCTATTCTTATATGGATATAATAGTTGAATTCATGAGTCATGGAAAACCTGGAAGCACTGGACAACCGTTTCGTCCTATTGTGGGACTCCTCAGCAGTGCTCATCCACGATCCCGCCTCGTGGAAATCGAACCCAGGACCTATCACTCGCGCGCGAGTGCTAAAACGATAGACCACTGAGATGGTCGGCATCCAACAGTGGTAATGTCTAACTTTAAACGATTCACGAACTTGATCGACAAATCCACTATTGTCTTCAGTGAGTTGATATCTCACAACAAACCTGGTTGAACTCCACTCTTCACTGCTTTTCACTAGAACTCCATGAAATACTTCTTGAAGCCAGTCACTAGTGAGCATATGTTGAATAATATCAGAATGGTTTTTGTTGTATCCCCTGGCGAATTATGAATCATAAATCTGATGTCCATTTATGGACAAATGTAATACGCCTATTCCTATTGGATAGTTGTTAAATGAGTAACCTAAATCTGATGTCTATTTATGGACAAATACAATATGCCCATTCCCTATTGGATAGTTGTTAAATAAGTGACCTAATCGTTTCCGTGTTCCTCTCATCACAACCTTTGTTTTGACCTTGGAACTATTATTATTGATTACTTTCCCCCTAGCTACAGCCACATTGGCCAATTACTGTACAAATGTTATTTTTCTATTTTTTGGTATAATTGGGTCTGTTTGGTTAGTATATATAAACCAGTGTGCTTGTGAATAATGATTCATATTGCTGAGGCTGTTATTTGTGTTCTGGACTCAACTGGCTGGGCTAGGCAGTTAGGAAGGACCGAATAGCAATCAAGACTGCTCGTACGTATTTTCTGTATCATTGCACGTTTCATATACAATAACGATTGTTATACGAGTCATAACAATTGGCGACGGGGATTCTGGAAAAAAATACAGCAGCCGCTGACGTCATTTCGGAATTAAATAATCCATAATAATTGCCGGTGTTTTTTTTTTGGATTTATTATTATTATTTACATTTAAAAAAAATGGCCTTAACTTCCGACCAATTTCAGTTGCTAATCCATCGACAAGAGCAGCGCTTCAGAAAGAGTCAATTGGATTTCATTGACAAATTACACGCGAAGCTGCTGAATCACCCATGCTTTGGGAGTGAAACGGAAGTTGACGCAATAATTTCAAAATTGCGTACAGAGCTGGAAAACAGTTACAGAACTAATGAATATGCCGGCGAAAGCCTCAATGAATCCATACAAAGCAATAATTTAAGCGCAGCAGTTATACATGATCAGCCCAGTAACCCAGTACTACCTATTTCAGAGACATGCCCTGTACACGGTCCAAGTCTTATTAATCCCGAAAACGGACGTGCAAACAATGAATTATCCTATTCACAGAAAGTAAATGTCTTGCAAAATGCTCATGAAATTGCTGCAGTACCCGCCCACGAAGAAACGGGAAACAAATCGAGCAGTATATGGAATACAGTGCCACCAAATGAAATTAATCATGATACGGAAAATGTTTCTAATGAATCTAATGATCAAAATTCTGTAATTGTTCTACCAGATTTAGATTATTTTGATGATTCATATGTTTCTGTTGAATTCTCGTATAAAAATGAGAGAAAAATGTCAGATGTATTTAATGATAATCAAGAATCCAATACAACTCTCATAGATACTGATTATCCTAATGATTCATTATCTACTAATGAGGTTCCGAGGAAATTCAAGGGAACTATTTCAGAAGAATCAAATGTTGGTGACCTCGAATCAAATGTCGTCGATCCTCATGATCTCGTCAGTTCTAATGCATTCCCTGTTAAATGTGACAAACATATCGCATTAATAGTAACTTGGCTATATGAGGATCCAACAGTCTTTCGTGGGGGAGGGTGAATTCGAGGAAATTAAAAATCCGGATATCAACTCCGGTTTTCTCAAAAAGGGGAGGTGTTGTATCCCCTGGCGAATTATGAATCATAAATCTGATGTCCATTTATGGACAAATGTAATACGCCTATTCCTATTGGATAGTTGTTAAATGAGTAACCTAAATCTGATGTCTATTTATGGACAAATACAATATGCCCATTCCCTATTGGATAGTTGTTAAATAAGTGACCTAATCGTTTCCGTGTTCCTCTCATCACAACCTTTGTTTTGACCTTGGAACTATTATTATTGATTACTTTCCCCCTAGCTACAGCCACATTGGCCAATTACTGTACAAATGTTATTTTTCTATTTTTTGGTATAATTGGGTCTGTTTGGTTAGTATATATAAACCAGTGTGCTTGTGAATAATGATTCATATTGCTGAGGCTGTTATTTGTGTTCTGGACTCAACTGGCTGGGCTAGGCAGTTAGGAAGGACCGAATAGCAATCAAGACTGCTCGTACGTATTTTCTGTATCATTGCACGTTTCATATACAATAACGATTGTTATACGAGTCATAACAGTTTTTGTGTATATTATAGTAATTTTAATAGTTGAGATCATGAGTCAATTGAAGCTAGATCACCATGAAAAACCTGGAAGCACTGAACGACCAGTTTCGTCCTAGTATGAGACTATTTAACAGTACGCCTCCATTATCCCTCCCGGAATTTTCCATGATGGTCTAGCTTCAATTGACCCATGAATTCAACTATTAAAATTACTATAATGTTTACAAAACGGCTTTTGATATATGAATTTGTTGATCAGTTTAATACAAAAAACTCATATTATGAAATCATACCGTACCCGTTAATACTGTAGGTACAATTTGGTTATGTAATTCTAATATCTATACAGATTTTTTTTTACTTTTTTTTTCTTTTTCGAACGGTCTAGAGTAAATTATCTTCATTAAATATGTTAGTTGATATGGTAACAAATACATTGGATTATTATCTTTATCATACTAAATCAATTGATCAAACTAGTTATAATTTAATATCATATTGTATTGGTATATTATTATATATATCAGAAAAACAAAATAAACAGATGACAATTAACTCATTACAAAATATTTTATATAGTCGATTAGAAACTTTTAGATTATTATGTACTATTAATACACAAGGTAAGTCAAGATTTATCAATTTAATTTATGCTATAAACAATAATTTACTTTTATTGATATAAATAGCTCCCAAATGCCCTGATACAGTTGAGACTGAGGAGAGTCAGCTCTCTTTCTCGAAATGCTCTCACATGGCCACGCGTATATAGCCTCTGTCAGGGGAGTTGTACTCGTTACCTTCTCACAGCATTACTGTTGTTTACGAAATTGAGAGGACGAAAACCGAATGTCCGGTGCTTTAACTGGGTCAGTGGACACGAAAAGTTCAACCAGCAGAATTGGAAAACCCTGATTCCAATCGTTGGTAACTGGTTACAATGGCACTGCATCGACTCACGATGCTCCACTGTCTTGTGGATCAGATCTTTTGGTCAAAGGGTACGAGTGTGGCTCCCTAAGAAAAGCACCTGTTTCAGTTTGAGCACTTGGGCGGTATCATAGCCCTCACACAATTAAATGGAATGACGCATATATATCTGGTGCCCCTTTGTACCAATATTTATGTGTTCAAATAAATAAATAAATAATAATAACTTTAGAGACTGATCAGTTGAAGTCCTAAACATCAATGGGAAGATTCAAACAAACAATATTAAGTGAATTTAAACTTCACCCCATTGCACAAGAAAGTGGCTATCAGGACTCAGTAGCTGAATAGAAAACGCGATGGTGTTTGAAGCGAAAGTTACTGGGTTCGAGTTCCTCCCAGAGTGAACATCAACTCTGAGATCCAGGTACATCTATCTGACAACTCCCAAATAGGATTAAATTGCGGGTTCTGGATTCCACCGCTAGCCACTATCCATCTTTTCTTACAATAAATAAATAAATATTAAAACACATTTATAGATTTACAATTATACAACTTATAGAAGCACATTTTAAGAATGATTGTTCGCTTCAATGTTTTTTTTTTAGTTTTGTATACTTTACTGAAATCATCTGATTGTTTTGAATTATTATTGCTGCTGCTTTTAGATTTAAGTGATCTTCCACAAATTGTTATATCAGTCTGTTTACAATTCACCTGTAAACAGAATCAAATTAATAAAAAATCTCATTTTATTACAATTCTGGTGAGTTGTATAGTTTATTGTCAATTAACATGTTTTTTTTTAAATAAAAAATTTAATGGTGTGATGTGGGTTACTTATATCCACATAAGTAGTATATGATGATGGTCAAGCATAGAATCTATTTCCCTAGAAGATTGATAAGGAGAGAGCGTGATCGAAACGCACTTGATATGAAAATGCATATACAATAATAATTGGAGACGATGGACTGATATTTACAGAAGGAACAGTCAAGATTAAGACAATTGATAGTTTGCATATTAAATATATGTAAGCAAAGATGGATAGTGGCTAGTAGTGAAATCCAGGACGCGCGTTTCGTCCCATTTAGGACTCGTCACTTGGACGTACCTGCATCTCAGAGTTGATGTTCACTCTGGGACTCGAACCCAGTACTGTTCGCTTCAAACTTCCATTCAGCAACTCTATGATATGTGCATACTGTGCGTATTGCCTCCATCTTTGCTTATAATGTTTGTGAATTAAGGCTATATCTAGGCAAGACGCACAGTATGCACGTATGCCAATAAGAGACTGATCAATTGCAGTCCTAAACATCAATGGGAAAATTGAAACATACAATACTAAGTGAATTTATTTACAATATGGTTGTCATATTTTACTGAGCTATTCTGTAGTTTCGTGTCCAATACATTCGATTTTCCCCACTCATATTCTTGTTCACTACCTCATGAAGAAGTGAAGTTCATGCTATAGATAAATGAATAAATAATTTTATTAACAGATTAATTTTTGTTCTTAACAATTGTTGATATCATATGAAACCATTGAGTTATACAGTTTCTGGAATTTCAATTATGGGACAGTATCACACTCTAATGATACACTCCTACTTTTATTATACCGTTCTACATACTTGAATTTGAGAAGCTGGGTATAATGATTAGCCTCCACACTTTGAATGTGGCTTATATCCAATTGTGGTGTGTACTACTTATAGCCGCATAAGTAGTATGGAGTATATGGAGATGAATTTGAACGATTACTTGAGTACTAATGACATTTACAAAAATGAATTCATCATTTGGAATTATTTTATCCTTAAACTTGTAAAAGCATCAAGAAACACGTTAGATTATACCGAAGTTTTTATTGCCAGATCAGTCTATTTAATAGGAATAATATATTTTCATAGTTGAAAACGTGAGTAAATTGAAGCTAGACCACCAGGGAAAACATGGAAGTACTGGACGGCCGTTCCATCTTATTGTGAGACTCCTCAGCAATGCGCATTCACGAACCCGCACTCGCGAGATTCGAACATTGGGCCTACCAGTCTCGCACCAGAGCACTTAACCGATAGACCACTGAGCCGGCATGTCTAACTCCAAACAATCCACGAAGTTGAACAACTGTTCACCAATTTTCGTGGATGCGCACTGCTGAGGAGTCCCACAATAGGACGCAACGGTTGTCCAGAGCTTCCAGACTTTCCCTGGTGGTCTAGCTTCAATTGACTCACGCTTTCAACTATGGAAATTCTAAATCTCCACAAAAACCCTTCCTGATAATAATATATTTGTAAAATCTCATCGAATGAATTTGAAGTAAATCCAACGTTTCGCCTGGCAATCTGGTCCAAGCTTTTCCAAGAAAGTACTTCGAATTCATTAGCTGAGGTTTTACAAATATATTCTTCCTATTTAATTTCTTACATCAACTAGGTGCCCAAATACTGTGAAACTATTCACTCTAATTTAGATGAAAGTTCTTATAGATTAGTCTATTGATTCGTATTAATATGTCTTTTGATTAAGAAATGGTTTATTGCTTAATACTGACTATGATTCTTATTTTAAAACATTTAACTATAGCTGGACTCATTCATTCAAATGTTTCATGGTTTTGTCTCAGTTGAACAGCCAATTGATAATGGAATATTAGTTGATCACCATATTATAACAATTCTATCAAAATTATTATGTTACTTAAAACAATCATTAACAGAAGTTGCATTTTCCCAACTACCAGAATATTTTATACAGGTTAGAACATTTTTTTCTCTCTTTATTACTAGTATTTTTATGTGTTTCTATGTGGTGAATATTCCTCTGTAATAGAATCTTGCGAGGCGTGGTTGGGGTCCGCGTGACTATCGTAACCAATGGTTGGAGACTCTAGGTGACATGGCTCAGAATCGACCACAATGGCTCAGGTGTATACACTCTTTATCTTCCCTTAAACCTTGAGATTAAATTTTTTTCATAATGTTCTTCCTTCCTATACTATATCCTTATATTCAACCTATCTTTTATATACTACCACCAATAAATTAACTATTTCCATGAATCCGGTGTTCATCTTGTTGTGCTAACGAGATATGGCAACTTAGACCGATGCATAAATGTACCTGGTCATACGTTGTAACTGACTGAGGCGGGATCGTGGATGCGCACTGCTGAGGAATCCCACAATAGTACGAAACGGCCGTTCAGTGCTTCCAGATTTTCCATGGTGGTCTAGCTTCAATTGACTTATGATTTCAACTATATATAATAATGACTTAAAATCTCCACAAACAACCTCCCGAATCAAGAATTATTGATATAAATTTCTTCATTATAGAGCTACTTTATTTAACCCGTGTTTATATATCGGATGAAGAATCCTCATTGTTGAAAATATCACTCGCATTATTATCTTGTTGACACTGTTTTCTCATCTAGATTATTAATTTATGGATCTGGTCAATAGCATCAGTATCTATTACCTTGTAGAAGTGAAATTTTCAATTATTTTAAAAGTATTAAATCTCGCGAGGCGGGATCGTGGAATTGCACTGCTGAGGAGTCCCACAATATGATGAAACGGCCGTTCAGTACTTCCAAGTTTTCTATGGTGGTCTAGCTTTGAACTCAGGACCTATCAGTTTCGTGCTAATGCGTAATCTTTAGACCACTAAGATGGCCGGCATCCAATGGTGTTAATGCTTAACTTGAAGTTCAACTGGGTCTGTTATGAGATAGTAACTCACAAAAAACAATAGTGGACGGTTGCTCAATTTCATGGATTCATTGAATTTAGACACTAACACCGTTGGATACCGGCTCACTGATCCATAATATTATCAGAAGGGTTTTTTGTGGAGATTTAGTATTTTCATAGTTGAAAGCGTAAGTCAATTGAAGCTAGACGACCAGGGAAAATCTGGAAGCACTGGACGGCTGTTTCGTCCTATTGTGGGACTCCTCGACAGTGCGCCTCCACGACCTCGCCTTGCGAGATTCAATCTCAGGACTTCGACAGGTGTTTCCTGGAGTTCTAGTGAGTAGCAGTAACCAATGGAGTCCAACCACGTCTGTTGTAAGATAGGAACTCACTGTAGACAATTAGTGAACGGTTGCTCAACTTTGTGGATTAATTGAAGTTAGACATTAACACCGTTGGATGCCGGCTAGCTCAGTGGTCTTTCGGTTAAGTGCTCTGGCGCGAGACTGATAGGTCTTGGAGTGCCATACTAAAACGAAACGGCCTTCCAGTGCTTCCAGGTTTTCCCTGGTGGTCTAGCTTCAATTTACTCACGCTTTCAACTATTTATAATATTGATTAATTTCCTTTCTTTTTTTCTTCCCTTCCCCCTCCCCCAACAGTATCATAAACTCTTACAAGTTGGTTTACCCATCTTCACATGTTCATTGAATAATCCAATGGATGATATAATGATTTCTATGGTTATTGAATCAATCCATTGTATATTCTTTACAATTCATCATATATTAGAGAAATATAATAAATTAGATGAGACCATATTGAAACCTATACAATACTTTATTGAATGGTTATTCAATGATCAATCTAATATGAATGAACATTCATCATTTATAAATTTGGCTTCCAGTTTATTGTCTAATATTTTAGATAAAATTAATATACTACTTATTAATCAAACTATTATAGTAGATGATAAATTATTTGGAAAATATATAGGATATACTAAAGAAGAACGTATAAATCATCCTTTATCACCTATATTAATGTCATTTATTGGACAATCTATTACAGAAGAAATTGAAATATCAAGTCGATTTATAAGTCAATTAATCAATTTCAAATCTCAAGTAAGTATACATTTAAAGAATTGATTCTTGTTGACCTTAAATCAGTCATTGTTTATTTTTTTGTTTTGGTTGTATCTCCCATTGGTTTGGTCAACAAGAACTGATCAACATCGAGATGCAAAAGACAATTTTTAAACCATACTGGTAGGTGCAGACTACCTGGTTGGGATTCGCGAGATGATAGCAATCGATGGTTAGAGACCTTGAATGACATGGCTCAAAATCGTTTGTAGTGGCGAAGGTGCATCCACTCTTTGTGTTCTAACAAATTATAATATTCTGAATTCCTCATGTCCCTTTTTCTCTTTCCAAATTTATTTCGCTGGATTATACTCCTTGAATATCATCTTCAAACCCTAATCTTTCCGATTACTGCTTATACTCTTACTACTTATACCACTATGGGATTTGAATCGACAACTGCCTCACTGTGCTACTGTGGTATGGCAACTCGAACTGATGTACGTACGTACGAAGTTCTACATTGTGACTGACTGAACAATGATTTTATGGAATGGTTTCTATTCGATAGATTTTGATTATTTCCATAAAGAAACTTGAAAAAAACTGCTTTACAACTACATTTTCCTTTTACCATTAACTCATAGCTCTACTATTATCAAAACTATCCGACTATACTTCTCTTATGAAATACTAACAAAACTGGTTTTTTCCCCATAAAACTTCTTTCTAGGAAACAAAAGGAAACCAACAAAGAAAACCTATTTTCAATCTCTTCAATGATGATGCTCATATGTCGCTAAAATTATTTTTATCCCTAGCATTCAGCGGCATTAGTGTACCAGAATGTTCAACTGTCGAGTCATGTATTCAATTAGCATGTCATTTATTAACTATAATAACTTATGAAAACAATATTGATCCATTCATGATTTTAGATGATAAATTACTCTTTGAAATTAATATATGTATATTATTAATATTAACGAAAGGTATACCACCACCTGAAAAACTTCTAATAAAATATGCAGAACTTTATTGTTGCTTAGCAAATTTATTTCCATGTAAACAATTTATTTTTTTAAGTTTTATCACTGGAAATATACAATCTATTAGTCAAGAATATCAATTAAAATTAACCCAAATACCACATAGTAACATATTGATCGAATTGATTACAGATTGTTTATGTTATACAAGTTTAACGGAACGAGCACAATTTGTTACTATGGTAACAAGACCTTCCCTTTCATTGAATAAAGTTACTAGAAGTATATCAACATTTATGCATTTGTTGTCATCGAAAAGACATGGAAATTGTTAAACATAAATTTATTTATATAGAGATTGAACAGATAAATATTACAAATATTACATAATGAATTGTTGATTTTCTTTTTCTTCTTCTTCTCTTCTCAATCCCGAACTTTCAACTTGAGTTTCTAAGCCCTATGTATATAGAAAAGTAGAAATGATAGGTGCAGATTATATTTATGAATCAATAAAAATGTGGACATGAAAAGTTCACCTAGGGGAGTTGGAAAACCCTCATTCTAAACCAATAGTCACATGGGTTAGCTTCAGGATCCTGAGGGAACAAATGGCGTATGAATCAATTGTTGGTCATTGGCTACCATGGGACTGCATCTCCTCACGATGCTCCACTGCCTTGTGGATTAGACTTTTAGGTCAAAGGCTCTGGATGTGGCCCCCTAAGAAAACCACCTGCTTCAGTTTGGCACCCGAGCAGTATCACAGCCCTCACAGAAATTAAATGAGATTTGTGTGGCGCACATGTATTTGGTACCCCTTTGTACTAATATTCATGTGTTTAAATAAAAAAAATAAAAAATGTGATTTCATAGTGAAATTGTAAAGATTACACTTACATTAGTGTAAATCAGGATATCATTGGCTTCTCCATGATCAGTTTGCACTAATATCTCTGAATTATTATCGTTTATTAAGTCTAAATTGAGAGAGGAAAAAAACGTTTTCAAGTAATTAATGTCTATTTACCAGCTTGATTTACAATAGCTAGTTGAGGTTGACCATTTTCACCTTGAATCATTACTAATGTTTGACCTTCTTCAAGTTGAAGATCATCAGGAAGGATAAATTGTTGTACTACTTCTCCACCTTCATCAGTTACATCAATGGTAGTTGTTCCATCGCTTTGAGTTGTAATCTGAGTTCCACTGAGTATGGCTGTTTGATCTTCCTGTGATTCAACAAGTCTCATGGATGATGATTGGTCTGTATCAACGGTCATCATAACTACATCATTATCGGAAATATTGGTAGCTGATGTAGACAATAAGGAAGGTTCACTACTAATCATGATAATCTTCTGATCTGTAGTTCCAAATGGGTTATCATTCTGAAACTAGATATAAATTACCAGTTAGTGTAAAATAATATTTTACTATTTGATACCTAACTTAAAAAGTAGTGGGAAACTAAAATCGTCTTTTAGACAATATCTTATACCAACGAGCTATTGTGGAAGAAGTTTTAGTTTACTTAAATGGCAACCAAACTCGGTGGATCTTGAAACATTGAGCTAACTTGGTCTATGAAGGTCAACGGCTTCATCAAATGACTTGATTCATACTTCGACCATAAAATTGGAACTCTATCAGAAAGGGCCAAAGATAGAAGCTTACTAAGTAAGAAAAAGAAGATTATGGACTGCTTGTCACATACACTAGTCCTTACAAGTTATGTTTTTTAAACTCGATTGTATACTTCAGCAGCTCGTTTCGAGATTTTTGACATCTTTAAACTTCATTAAGATGCTAAATGATTGCGTTCAGAAACTTATGGCTGAATGTTATATATGAAGCAGCACTGTGAAACTACATATGCAATTGAACGTAAGTTAGAAGGACATGTCTAGTTGTTTTTGGAAAGATACGCGCCAGCAGATTACAATCCCAGATGCACCAACATTATGTTAGAATGAAAATGAGGCTTCACTGGCAGCATTCGGAAAGTCATGCCTATAATTCAAACGAACAAATAGATGTAGATGCCCAAGTTAAGCCGAACAAAAATATGAGGACAGTACACTTGATTGGATGTATAATTTGCTTACAAAACCCATATCATACCTACATCTTTATCCAGAACATAACCAATCATGCCTTACATAACACATTAGTCTCTTGCAGGTGGAATAACAAAAGTGACTCTGGCTGATGTGTTAATGAGCTTCGTCCCCCTACAACTCAAACTGATCATATATTTTAACCAACTACCGCTAGGGTGAATGTGTTCTGAACAGGGTATTTTTGAATTCTTGTCATGTTCTAGTATAAACAAAAATACTTTTTTTATAACTAACAATTTAAACGCAGTTGTAGGTTGCAACGAGTAACCACGGTGAATATAGTGAGGAGTGTCAGAAAGTAAAACAAATTGGAAACTGCAAAGAATTAAGTGCAGCATGTAACCAGAGCTCAATTTTTTCAAGTGTGCCGAACAGGTTGATGAACTAAACTGGGCCAATCAGAAATTGACCATTACTTAAGATTTTTCTTTTTCTAAAGAATAAGACACACCATTGGTGGAAAATATGACTTGAGTATATATATATATATATATATATATATATATATATATATATATATATATATACTATGCCTTAGGTGTTTTAGGTATTAAAGCTTTCATTCAGTAGCTAGTTCGGGTTCGCATATAAGAGATTTGTGTATCTGTATCATAATCGAGGACCACACGACATGAACACTCATAAAAATGCCGCTGATTAAGTATTCATACCTAAATAGTAAAGACCATTTTACATTTTCATTCGGTTAAAACCTCATTTACTGTTTTCGGTAATCTCAGTTCGTAAAAAATTTAAAAGATGATAGGATATCAACCTACTCCATTTCGATCCGACTCTTGATGTTTTTCAGAAGCTTCATTTTGTTCAGCGTCTGTCTGTGCAAATGATATTGACAAGTTTGGATGTAGCGTTGCAGTTAGTGTTCCACATTCTTCAACAAGGTGTCGTGCAAGACTATTACCATCTAAGTTACTTGTTCCACAGTGTGAACAGTACAGAATTCGCGAATCGACTTGATTTTCCATATATCTTGCAACAGAGTCATTCGGATTAGGTTGTTCTGTCAAACTGTGCTTTTCAGTTTCTGGTACATTCACAACATGGCCCATTTCATCAGTAAAGACAACTGTTGTAAAATTCGCCATGTCACTAGGTGTCAAATCTGTAATCTCGTTTACGACATGTTCTTGTCGATCACCTGAAACAGTCGCTACTTCTAATGACACATTACCGTTACATGGAAGATCGTATTCATTGCACCAGTCGAAAAAGATCTGACGAACCATTGGCATACCACAATCAAGATCTGTTGATTGAGAAGCGTTCGAATAGACATGAAGTTTTTGAAAATGACGCTGAAAACCAACCCTACAGCAGGTTGCAAATCTGCACACGGAACACGGTAAATATTGCCTACAAACAAAATTATTGTTGAAGTGAAGATAAAAGAGGGTTTACCATTAAATGGTTAAAAAGATTTATTGGAAGAGCAATTATTAAAAAAATTGCTTGTAGTTTTAATATTACGGGGTTTTCGTTGAATCATACAACCTAGAAAACATATGTTTAGTACTTCTGATGCTTATTTCAATTTAATGTAGTTAGAATCGTCCAAAAGTCTAGGACAGTGTACATTCATCGCACTCTAATTGCTTTAGTTAAGCAATTATATATTTTCAAACTTAGTAAATTTATAGTTGAAAGCGTGAGTCAATTGAAGCTAGACTACGAGGGAAAGTCTGGAAGCACTGGACGACCGTCCTATTGTGGGACTCCTCAGAAGTTGGTTGGAGTTAGACATAAACACCATCGGATGCCGGCTCAGTGGTCTATTGTTTAAGTGCTTGGTTCGAATTTCGCGAGGCGAGGTCGTGGATGCGCACTGCTGAGGAGTCCCACAATAGGACGAAACGGCCGTCTAGTGCTTCCAGGTTTTGCCTGGTGGTCTAGCTTTAATTAACTCGCGCTTTCAACTACTAAAATACTAAATCTCCACAAAACCCCTTCTAATAATAATTAGTAAATTTAGTCATTTATCCAAGTGAGTGAATATTATTATCTTAATAGTCAAATAAAGGCGGTTATTACATTTTTCTACAGATTTTGCTGTAGAGCAAATGAAATAGGTCTATTTCATGGTTTTATTTAATTTTTATACACTGATCATGTGATATATCTCAAACACTTACGAATGATCAGAATCACCCATACGTTTTCCACATTCCAGACATTCTAGATTCTCAATATTCTCAGGTAAGAAATTTATAGCTAAGTTTTTTGCACAACCAGCCTCTGGAGCATTCATTGATGTTATATGTGGTCGAACTATACGAATCGAATCTATGGATGTGTTATGATCGCCGAAGTTCTCAGTAGCCTGGGTTGTATGCTGTTTTGTTTGATAACATTCTAGCTATGAAAAAATTGAATAATAGTAAAGAAATTAAGTTTGAAATACTTAAGAAAATTGAACGTGTAGAATTATAACCGTTTACTGATTTTTATTATAAGGGTATTCTAGTTATACTTAGATGAGAGGATTGGTGTCATTCAGTAACTAAGTAAATTACGTCACACTTTTTCGGAGTAAGTTGAAGCTGTTGACGTCGAAAATAAGTGTAGTTGAAATGCGAAAACCAGCATTCAAAAGTTAAATGCTTGATTAAATAAGTCATTAAAATAACTGTGTTTATGTTAAGGACAGAATGATCAATGGTTGAGCCATAAAAACTACTCATTTTGGTAATCAAACTCGAGCTGGTGCATATAAGCACACTAAAGTTAGTGGGACGATGTTGATTCGATTAAATATTCTTTTTCGTATACAAAACTTCGGTATATGATTGACAGACGTTTTCTTATGGTCAGTGAGTGGCTACAAATCTCCAGTGCGAACTATACTCGTATGTATAGTCAATCATTACTAACAACTGGAGATATCAAATTCTTGTAAGTCCAGCCAACGTTGATTTATACTTTTTGGTAAGCTTATGGATAGTGCTGGACCTAACTTGGTTTGATATTTCTGTGATCAATTCGTTTTTAAAAAATACTAAATACTGTTTCCATCCACTTATTCCTTGTATGGCTCTTTCCTCTAGTACTTTTTCATAATTATATTACTCTATTATGTATGACACATTTTTATTGTTCTAATTTATTGGCTACGGGACAAAATTCGAGTATTAATCTATTTCCTGTTTTCCCGATTACTATGTATTGCACTTCGACGTTCAACGCAACAAAGATATGTTGCCAGGTGTTCAATTCTTTTGGTAATCCAGTTTAACAAGTGTTGTTTATGTAGCCAGTTTTGTTATAAAACTAGTTAGATATATGCTTCACAACTTACTTATAAATTACAAATAGGAAAATTAATTAAATTACTCTTAAAAACTAACCTCATATGAATCTTGACGAAGATCTGGCTTCTCAGTACCTAAATCTCTTGTGGCTTTATGATCTAGGCGTCGATGTACTTGGTAGTCTGATTTATTAGTGAAATTTAAACGACATGTTGGACATCGACGAAGTTGATGTTTGATTTGATGTAGACGTAAATGTTGAAGATAAACTTGCGTCTGACCAACACCTAAACCTAGACCTACAGTACTTATCCCACCAGAAGCTGACATACAAACTGGTTGAGCGTTTGAACGCGCATCCGAAGGGGTAAATATACGAAGACAATAGGTACAAAGTAAGTGGTTTGAACTATCATGCATCTGTAACAAAAAAGATCGTATAATTATGAAAATGTATAGGATAAACGGAGCAGATACTAAAGAGTTATAAAGTATGTGTGGTTGCACCTACAAGATATCATAGAAATAGGGATAGATTTTACTTGTGGCTTCACGAAATGGCTAGTTTATCATCCTGTTTCTGTAGCATTCTCACAATTACTTGACACCCATCACTTTATGTTAGTGGATAGTATGACAATGCGCGTAGACTTTCTACCCATACAATTCCACAACGCAAGCATAAGGATAGCAAAATTAGGTAATAAGATAGTGTTAAGGAGTTAGAGGAGGCAGGCGCATCTTGGAACTTGTGGACTGTTTCAACCCACCGCAGTCACCAACAACAAGCCTGACATCAGCAAAACAATTCATATGATTTATGTCACTCCAATTAGTAACATACCTTTGGATGTCAACCGCACTGTCATGTGCTAACAGAGGATAGTCTGATCAACGTTGTCGGGAAAGCTAAACCACTGTGTGGCATATGTTTTTGGTTACTAACTGTACAAACGTTTTCTGTTACAGAAAAAATATGAATGAGATAAATAAGGGACTGCGAACCTCATTAAACCATCAAATTTTTACAATCACATCTATTCGGACAGCCTATAGGCGGGTGTTGAGAGAAAATAATCTTAACTTGTGGTATTAATAAAGCGACACGAAGTAAGAAGTGAAAGAAAAGGAGTGATAAACTAAGATAGAACGGGGGTTAAATGTTGATACATAGATATGTTACTAACTTGACAGCGGAGGAAACCCGCATCCAGAGTCAGTTGGTAAAACATCTAATCTTGTTGTTTTTTACCAAATGAAAACAATGTGGCTTCTTGAAGTCGTAAAACAATTATACCATATTGTTTAAAATGAAGTGTAGTGATTGTCGAATCATTTTGCAATGGTAGAACGAGTGAACTGAAGCTTGAAAAACAGTGAATAAAAGAATAAGGTAGCTGTCCCTAAAAAGGTATATATTACGAGGATACTTTTATGCAGAAAACGTCCTTTAGTTCCTCATTCTGAAAGTAATATGAAAGGCTTACAATGTTATGTGACAAACTTGGATTCTCGTTCATGACTAGTTATTAGTCATATGTTAAGCAATTCATAGTCATATTATCAGTGGGAAATATTTGATCTTACCACCTTGCTATCGCAACTGAGTTATATGATGGACACGGCAGTACTATTCCAAGACAAACTACTGAGACGAATTCATTTCGAATGAGAGTGGGGAGAGTCCGCTCTCCCTCTCCAAATGCTCTCACATGGCCACGCGAATATATAGCCTCTGTCAGGGAAGTCCTACTCACTACCTTCTCGTGGCAGTGTTGTTTACGAAATTGAGAGGACGAAGAGCGAATGTCCGGCGCTTTAACCGGGTTGGTGGGCATGGAGGGTCCACATAGGGGAGTTGGAAAACCCTGATTCAAAACCAATGGTGCACATGGGCTCCAGTATCCTGGAGGAACAAGTGGCGTACGAACCAATCGTTGGTCACCGGCTACCATAGGACTGCATCTCCTCAAGATGCTCCACTGTCTTGTGGACTAGACCTTCAGGTCAAGGGCTCGGGGTGTGGCTCACTAAAAAAACCACCTGCTTCAGTTTGGGCACCTGGGAAGTATCACAACCCTCACACAAATCGAATGAGATTTGTGCAGCGCATATATATCTGGTGCTTCCTTGTACCAATATTTGTGTGTTTAAATACATAAATAAATAAACATTTCGAATGAGTACAAAACGCTAGTTGGGGTATTAGAACGAATTTCTAGTGTAGCATAGATGATACATTGGAAATTTTTATCGGTGAATTCATTGATTCAAAATTTTAGTTTTCAAAGCTTGATATTATTTTCATAATATGCCCTTCATAATACATAGTAAGTCTATCGCACAAACATTCCTTCATGAATGAAGGCAAATACAATTAAGTGAGATAGGAAACGAACCAAGAAAACAAACCTTTTTGAAATGGTCCAGTATATCTTCATACATAGATGATCGAAACAAACATAGGCGACAAACATAAGGCATTTCACGTTGACGATGAGTAGACTGAAGGTGATGAGCTAATAATAATTTGCTGGCAGCAACTTTTCCGCAAATGCGGCAACTAGGTGTATTTGTGGTACCATTAAAGTTTGGTGCTAAAATTTCCACATGGTCAAAATTACTGACAGGATCATCATGACCATCTATTCGTTGTTGAGTTAATAGCTGTGAGGTGATTTGAACAAGGGGGTTCGTTTTCGCTTCATCACTTATCAAATTAGAATCAGAGGGTGGAACAGTATGCTCCTAAAAGTATAACGAGAAAGAGAAAAAAGCGACCTCGTCGGAAACTAGCCATACACTATCAAACCACAAAGAATGTAAAAAAAATTAATACCATTACTACAGACTTTAACACTATCTTAGTTCAAGAGGTATTTTGGTAGAAGGTTGTCTACGGTATACAACATCCACTTAAACATGTTGAGTTATACATGGATAAGTTAACATAAACATGTTCAAATAAAAAAAATTTAGATACACAAATAAATAAGGTTAAATGTCACAAGCTTTTCGGGGATATGAATTTTGTAGAATATTCACAGACATGACTGTCAGGGTTTTTGTAAGTCATGAATTTGGTATTCGTCTTGGTGTGCTAATGAGGTATGGCAACTTGGACCGGTACATATATGTGCCTGGTCCTACGTTGTAGCTGACTTTTGTAAGTTATATCACAAAAAAACACGACTGCTAATTGAAACAATGTTTGTGAGCCATGACGAAAGTCTATTAAATAAAATAATAATACCAACAATTATTCAAGCTTCGCGAGTAGTCCGACTAAGGACAATTATTTCGAGCATTTATCTGAAGCTCTTGACAAACAAAAAGAAAAACTGGTTGCTATGTAAACTGAATATGGTTGCAAAAATTAATAGTGAAAATAAAATCAAATACTAACCGACCATTTATTTGGTCATATTTTTAGTTCCATTAGAGTAATTGCATGGAAACAAAAGAGTGATCTGAGAGGAAGAGAAAATAGTTCAGTGCTAGGGGGTTTGTATGAATTAGGCACAACCAAAGACAAATTGTGATTAGTACCACTTCAAAATATAAAAATTATAAATAATTCAAAACTCACTTTTTCAATATGATCTCTCAGATCAAACGCACAAGAGAACATCTGATTACAAACGGAACATTGTGTAGTATCTGCTGTGTCTAGGCAAGCTTGTGAAGCCTCATCAACATGACCAAGAATATGAGACATTAATTTTGTATTTGAGTAGAAAATTCGTTGACAAACCGCACATTTGAATCTGAAATCACCTTTTTCCTCCACATAATCGGTGTTTCCATCTTGACGCCCAAAATAATACTCGTCGATTGGAATGTACTTAACTAAATGACGATTTTAAATAGGAATGAATGATAAGTAATAAATAATATTGTGAGGCTTACGAACTGCAGATGAGCTAAGTTAGAAATAAAATAATTTTAGGAAATAAACGCAGGATAGTTATCGAGTTCAATGTTAACGGAATTTCGCGAATTATGTTTTTAATATGGCTACTGAACAAAGTAAGTTACGCCATGGTGGACTGTACACATGATGTGAAAGTTTTATGTTTGCTGGGGTTTATATCTTGAAAAAAAAATTTAAACTGGCATTATCGGGAACTATAGACAGAAATCCTTAGGAATTCCAATTAATAAAACCTAGAAATTATTAACAGGATAGTAAAAACTTAATCAGTACGTTTCTTACTACATATCTTATTTTAGGGGTGTTTAAAATGTATCTATATGAAGACCACAAACTGTTAAGACAGTTTTTCGTTTACTTTTCTTTATAAATGATAGTTATGACAAATAAGGGAGACCTTGGTAACTTTTAACTCAATCACACTGACCTTTACTATGATTTAACTAGTTAGTCTTGCTTTGGATTTATGATTTTCCTGCGTTCTAAGGTCATAGATATTGTTGTACGACATTTTGAATTCTGTAGAATAACAAGCTTTTCCTAAATCCAGCCCGAATTATAACATATTCTGCAATCATCCATGATTAGCAATGATCTTACTAGGAATCCTACTTGATGTTGTTTTTACTAACAATTACGTTTTATGACTTGGTAAAACGACGTAAAGGAGTACTGATCTGTCACTAAATCAAAACAAATGGATGTAGATTATATATACAAAAGACATAGAATTTAGTTTTCTTTATTATTCCGTGAATTTGCACAAAAAATTATCTCAAAAATCGTTAGAAGACTATTTGGGGTCAACAACAGATTTCTAAGAGCAACATTAATGAAATTATCAGTCTTACCTCCTTTACCATCTTTACCCGGCTTTTTAACTGATAAGCCCTTCAACGATTGAACTATTTCAATGCTTCCTTCTGGACCAGAATTTATGATATTGACTTCTGGTTCTGGAACATCTTCATCTACATCTGCAGCATTACGAAAAACAATAGTAGGCGGTAAGAAAGTTCGTAGTGGCCGGACAGAACCATGGAGTTTTGCTCGTTCACCCTCAACAAAGCATTCTGAAATATGGACTGCAGGCCAGTCAGAACGAATAGGTTTTTCGGAATCTAAAAACTCATCAGGAATAGGAACATGAGCCTTAACTATGGCTACTTCACCCTCTGAAACATGAAAATTAATATAATATAGAAGTCTACCTTCAGAAATAGGAAATTCCCAATTATTTTGCTGCAGCGTATTATACACAGATATCGCTCCGGCATGTTGAAGTGCGTTTAAGGACTCCCCAGTTAGTAAACCATGTTCTCCTATCGTGACAGCCTCCTCTGTCACGCATACATTGCTACAAAGTGCAAGGCGACTGACTGCATCCAAAAATGTGCGGTATTCTCTAAGAGAAACAATAGAAATGAATTTATGCGTCAATTTATCATACTCGACGAGTAGCAACTATGAACTAAGCTTCACTACACTGCATCGTTCAGTACCTCAACAAACATGTTAGTGCATATACTTATTGAGTGAAAAAACTAAGTTCTAATTTTTAGGACACTATACCTGAACTTAAACTTAGAGCCCTGTATTATATTAGGTTGAGGACTACTATGTTTTTCAGAGATAGGTTATATCTAAGATGAGTGTCTTGATTCTTATGATAAGGTCGTTATGTAGGCCAACGATATTATGTCATAATGTTTTTTACGGCCGAGCACGATAGTAGTCTTATTATTCATGCTTTTATTAGAGAGGGGTATCTAACGGCAATGTTAATATGGTGAACAATAGCACATTTCTCTTTGATCCACAGCTTCCCTACCTAACAAAAACACGTCACTAAAGGGAGGAGTGATGATGCGTCCTAATATATGCCATAACATGACCAGAGCTTCTTGTAACAGAAAGTCTGTCTACACAGATATGCAGGTTCAATGTACCAAGATCACAAGTACATAACTAAAGTTCAACATATCTAAGGAGACTGGTTTTCAATTCTAGATGGTATTAAATATCACTGCTGATGAACTTAAGTTGTAAGCTTGTGTTTTTTCGTAGGGAACTTCTGATCCTGGATTGTAGAAGGCAGAAAATGTAAGTACCAACTTAAAATGACAACCTTTTATTGCCGTCATATAGGTGAAGTGATTATTGTTAACGAACATTAATGTAGCCACCCAAATGCCTTGGTACGGCCGAGAGTGGGGAGAATCCGCTCTCCCTCTCCAAATGCTTTCACATGGCCACGCGAATATATAGTCTCTGTCAGGGAAGACCTACTCACTACCTTCTCGTGGCATTACTGTTGTTTACGAAATTCAGAGGACGAAAAGCGAATGTCCGGCGCTATAACCGGGTTGGTGGATATGAAGGATCCACCTAGGGGAGTTGGAAAACCCTCATTACAAACCAATGGTGCACATGGGCTCCCGTATCCTGAAGGAACAAATGGCGAATGAACCTGTTGTTGGTCACCGGCTACCATGGGACTGCATCTCCTAACGATGATCCACTGCCTTGTGGGTTAGACCTCTAGATCAAAGGCTCCGGGTGTGGCTCCCTAAGAAAACCACCTGCTTCGGTTTGGACACCTGGGCAGTATCACAGCCCTCTCGCAAATAAATGAAATGGAACATTCAAATGACAATTATATTCTCGTTCATACTAGAAACAAATCAACTTGCATTATTATTATTATTATTATTATTTACCATATCGCTAATTCACCCCCTTTTATCCCCAATTTGTGTAACCTTACTTTTCAACTTATGCAGCGGCTCGCTCATGGTGGAAAATCTGTCCTATCTAAACGATCTTCAGTCACTGTCTATTTATTTGTTTAAACATAAATATTGGTACAATGAAGCACCAGATAAATATGCGCTGCACAAATCTCATTTGATTTGTGTGAAGGCTGAGATACTGCCCAGGTGCCCAGACTGAAGCAGGTGGTTTTCTTAGGGAGCCACACCCCGAGCCTTTAACCTAGAAGCCTAATCCACAAGGCAGTGGAGCATTGTGAGATGCAGTCCTATGGTAGCCGGTGACCAACAATAAGTTCATACGCCATTCGTTCCATCAGAATCCTGGAGCCGATATGCACCATTGGTTTTGAATCAGGGTTTTCCAACTCCCCTAGGTGGACTCGCCGTGTTCACCAACCCGATCAATGCGTCGGACATTCGGTTTTCGACCTCTGAATTTCGTAAACATTAACGCCGCGAGAAGGCAGTGAGTAGGACTTCCCTGACAGAGGCTATATATTCGCGTGGCCATGTGAAAGCATTTGGAGAGGGAGAGCGGACTCTCCCCACTCTCGGCCGTACCAGGGAATTTGGGGGCTGTCTGGTTGAAAGTGAATGCTTCCACCGATAATGAATACTGAGGCAGTCTTTCTGAAACCACGTACGCCGTTCAAGCTGGCTTCCTTCAACGTTCGCACACTAATGCAGATCAGACAACAGATAGGGCTGGCTATGTCTTTGGAAGGTCTTAATGTTGATGTTTGCTGTCTATCCGAGACCCGTATTCAAGACTCTAGTGAAGTACTACAAATCCGCTCTCCATCTGTCTCGAAAAGCTTGTTCCACGTGCGCTTATCCGGGGACCCTGTGGCATCTTCGTCTGGTCTTGCTGGCGTTGGTGTCGCACTAAGCGCTAGGGCTGAGGCAGCACTAATCGATTGGTTCCCCATTAACAGTCGGTTATGTGCTGTTAGATTAGAAAATTCCATCAAAGTGAGAAGAAATCGGCGTGAGAAATGATGTCTTCTAGTCATCTCCGCCTATGCCCCGACAGATTGCAGCCCGGATGCAATCAAGGCTAGCTACCATCCCACCGAAAAGTATAGATGAGCATTGGTTGCATCTTCACCACGCCATGAAAATGGCGAGTAAAGCCGCTTGCGGCTTTGTGAAACGTCCCGCTTACAAGCAATGGGTTTCTTCTGGCTCCTTACAACTGATGGAAGCCCGTCGGTCTACTCCGGGTGACCGTGAGTTTGAACACAAACAAAGGCTGTTACGTAATGAAATTGGACAAAGCTTGCGTAAGGATCCAGAAACCTGGTGGTCGGAGCGTGCTAATGAGATGGAAGCAGCAGCTGCATCTGGTAACTGCCGGAAGCTCTTCCAACTCATCCGAGACACTGGCAGCAAGAAGTCTGGTGTGAGTGAAACAATCTACGAGGATGATGGGATGCCAATCACTAACATCTCTCGACGTCTTGGACGATGGGCGGAATTCTTTGAAGGGAAGTTCAACTGGCCTGCTGCCCCGGTAACATCAACCAGTTTGTCTTGCCCCCCATGGCCGGTGACGACTGATCCACCAAACGAAACGAAAGTCCGCAAGGAACTCCAACTCTTGAAACGCTACAAATCACCTGGCCCTTATGACTTACCTCCGGCTCTTTTTAAAGATGGTGGTGACTTTCTGGCTAAGGAACTGACGGTGTTGTTTGGAAAGGTTTGGGAGCAAGAAAGTGTTCCAACATCATGGAATGAGTCGATAGTCGTCCCTATCTTTAAAAAGGGTTCACGTTGTTCCTGCAATAACTATCGTGGGATAAGTCTACTTCCGATTGCGTCCAAACTATTGGCTTCTATCATTCTTCATAGGCATGTGCTTTGCACCCTCCAAGTGCAAGGTACTCTTACAAGACTGGCAGGATTCTCATCCTGTACTCACCCCAAATGGTGAGCAGATTGAAGTAGTTGAGAAGTTCGTGTATCTAGGTAGCTACATAAGTGCTGTTGGGGGCGTGAGTGATGAGATTGATGCACGTATAATGAAAGCCAGAGCGGCTTATGCCAATCTGGGCCATCTTTGGCGCCTTCGTGATGTTAGTCTGGCTGTAAAATGTTGGATCTACGAGTCGGTGAGAGCAGTTTTGCTCTATGCTTGTGAAACATGGCCTCTCCAAGTTGAGGATGTTAGACGTCTCTCTGTGTTCGATCATCGTTGTCTTCGAAGGATTGCTGACATTCAGTGGCAACACCATGTTAGTAATGCAGAGGTTCGGCATCGTGTGTTCGGGCGGAGAGACGACTTCGGTGGCTTGGACATGTTTTACAAATGTCGTCCTAGAGACTTCCACGTCGTGCATTATTTGCCGACTCTGGGACTGGTTGGAAAAAGCGGAGAGGAGGTCAGTGTATGACATGGTGTCGTGGTATGAAAGAAAGCTGCAAAGGGCTAGCTTCTGTTGGTCCTTCACAACTCCCTGATTGGGGTCCGAGAGATGGTGCAACACAGTGGCTAGAGACGTTATCAGATATGGCTCAGAATAGAAGCCAGTGGCGATCCTGCTGTAACCTTCTTCTACTTTGTTCATAAAGAGTGGCTATAACTTTCCTAACTGAGAGAGCTCTTCTAGTTGTACATTTCAGTTCCCCACATCATTACTCTTCTACTTTCTTTTTTCCTTCCTTTATATATACACCTCTTCCTTCTCCTCCCATTCTCATTATTTTGTGTGGCGCATATGTATCCGGTGCCCTTTGTACCAATATATATGTGATTAAATAAATAAATAAACATTAATGTAAGTTGTAATTTGTGTCGGTAGTTGGAAATTGTTGTAAATGTTTGTTAAATTTCAGAACACAGAGGAGGGATGCTCATATTTGGGATAGTAAAAATGCAATTTGAGAAGGGTTTTTTCGCAATTTGTTTTGACGCTCGACCTAATTTTTTAAAGGCTTCTCTTACCATGGATTAACTTCTCACTTGTGCGTAATACGCTGAGACTGACAAAGTGCATGTTGTTTTTGATTTCATATGCATCTGGCAAATAGGACACATTCCGAATAACACACTGCTTGTAATTTCTTTCGCAGATCTTTGTAAATAAGAGTGGGACTTTGCACTTTCAACAAAAAGGTGTGTGTTATTAAACTCCTAGCGAACTATGGTGTTATTTCCTATCAATAAACGTCTTAACAGTGTGTCGTTTTTTGATTAAGTTGGCATATGTCATTTAGAAATCGAAGTAAATGCGAACACCTGAGGCATCTGGGGTTGGTCGATGTTCTGACGACATTTCGTAGACAGGGGCGACAAAAGCTGTACACGAAGAAAACCTTACCTTGCGTATTCCATTTATTCTTTTTTGTATTTTCCGATGAAATTCCTACTTTATTCCCCACTCCTTGGCCGGTATTATTTTTCAGTCTCAAATGGTTCAAATGGTTGAGGACGGAATAGAAGAAGCTTTCGCTTAACGGGCTTCCGTGTCTGGTAGCAGTGGATCACCAATACTTCTTCTGAAAGGACATGTAACTGCTTGACATAGATCACAGACATACAAGTATATATGGGTCAGTTTATTCACATAGAAAACGGTGACACACTAAGTGAAACCGCAAATATAGAGAGACACATACGAGCACTAAGACTCCTAATTCATGAAGCAGACAAAAGTAAACAACCTCAATTAAGAAATAACAGTTACAAGACTGGTATCAAATTTTTAAATACAATAAGAGAGTGATTCCAAAATATGACTTACTGTAGGCGTGTTTGATAAGCCTTTAGTTGTGCATCTGATAGAGATTCATCATCACAAATGAGTGATAATGTAGCAAAACATCTTTTGCGATGATCCGTTCTGTACGGCAGAGGAGCAAAAGGTTGGGACATAATGACCTTGAGACAAAAGTATATATCTAAACAAAGCCGTGATTTTATATTACATGCAAATTCTCAGCCTTTAATAATCTTTGGTGACAGAAATGTGAAGTCATATAAAATATAAATATTCCTTGATTTCATTTAATTTCTATTATTCATTCCAGAGTTTTCACAGTGACTTGAAAAGAAAGATTTAGAGACTAAAATGAAATGGCAGTCTGTTTCGTTTGTTCATTCCGTGTTCCATATCAAAAATGTATGGTTGGTTATCTATTCTCCTTTCAGGGATGTCTTCTCGCATCGACAAACTGTGGTGATGTTATGTGTTTTGGTATAAAATACCAGTATTTGAAAGTGAGTTATGAGATCTAAATGGAAACAATATAACTTTTGTCACCGAACTTTCTGTGATTGTCCCTTATTATACTTAGTTTTATAAAGAAAAAATAAAAAAGATATTGCCCAAAAGAACAATATTTGAGAATCACCGTATAGTTGCAATTGTACAACTGTTCTCTACATTAGAATCCGCTCGGTTTTCGAACTAGGTCCGTTACCTTTCCCGAAATGGTTCAAGAACTAAGCCTTGTTTCAGACCCTATTGTATTGCATATTTGGTCTTGTCTTCACAATTATGCCTACAATGATGCTCTATTTGCAGCTGAAAGATTGTATGCTGAAACACACAATAGCGAAAGCCTTTATATACTGGCAACCAGTTTGTATCGAATTGGCAGGCCGAAACAAGTTAATAAACTACTCAACTCTGCCAATTCATTATCTCCTAAGAGTCGGTTAGTTTCTTAAAAATGGATTTTCATTTGCTTATTAGATACTTGCTCGCAAAATGCTACTTTGACATTGGTTCACTTACGGAGGCTGAAGATGCCATACTGTTTTCTGGTCTTTCTTCTTCGTCCTTGGACGAGATAACCAGTACTTATGAAGAACAATCTTGCTATGTTCTGCTACTATTAGGGGATATTTGCAAACACCAAGGAAGACTTAGTGATGCTATTATCTACTACAAAAAATGTCTCGAAATGAATCCACTTATGTGGTCTGCATTTAAAAACCTCTGTAATATCGGTGAATATGTTGAACCTTCCTCCGTTTTTCAGAATCCTAACGGGCTTAAACTTACGACACCTGTGTATGCCGTTCTGCTAGACGATCTACGTGGTAGTCCGCATGAAAATGCTTCACGAGAAAATGTCAACCCTCAAAATTGTGAGTCTTTTACCACTCAGGCTTTAGTGTCTTCGAAAGATTGCGAAAGTAGTGATCAAGAAACATTTGTTGATACAGATTGTCCGTACACCAATCAACGTCATTTCGTTTCATTTTGCTCTAGAAGCTTCATTGGTGATTTGGTACCTGCTCTTAAACCTGTAGACGTTCATACCCCAGACAAAGTTATTCCTTCTACTTTGTCTCCGAAGGCTCCAAAACCTGTTAACCGTGTTGCACGCAAAGTGGTACAAAATTTTAATTCTCAATCCATAAAACCAAATATACCTCGTTTTGGTTTACTTTCTTTTTTCCCTCAAAGTCCCATGTTCGCTTGTGTTCCCGTAAGTTTCTTTTTCCTAGTGCGTTATCAGTGTTTTTCATGTCGCTTTTTAAGTTCTCTCACGTTGTAGACTCATTTCTGAAACCAAAAGTCCACCTCTTCTTTCCTTAAATTATATAAAGCTCTCTCTTTATTACAGTATCTTTCTGATGAATTAGTGTAGAATGGTTTTGAGTTACATGTATCAGAAGAGTGGTTGGATGTTTGTATTGTGAGGATAGCTAAGGGACTTGTGACAACAAGGATGACTGCTAGGTCTAATTTCTGTCAAGCGACTCGATCTATAGTTATACATAGCTAATATAATATAAAGGCATGATAGGTTTAATAATCCATTGTATGGAGACTATAGTTAAGGACGCTTTATTGACATAGTGATAAAGGGACAAAGAGAATTCACAACAAAAGAATTTGGAAAACTGACAAATGCGATGGCGGTTTAATCCATCTGTTTATTTTCTGTTCCAAGGGAAGATGCGTAGTCGGAATGGATAGATTATTATATAAATTAAAGGTATCTGTCGATGGGTTTATGACTACTTCAGTTGGTAGTATTCCAGAGCACACAAACCTATGACGCAAAATAATGAAATTGCACGTGATTATTTTTTCTTTCGCAAATAGTCTTAAAAGCCTAGCTTTTCACATCGCCCCGACTTATATAGGATTCATTTGTTTGGATTTCCGAAGTTACTCGATATATTGTTCACTTTTGTGTGATGGATTGATGAATAGGTCGTTAATTGCCCTTCATTAGCTCGACGACTAAATTTCTGCTTTGAGCTTCTCGTTGCCTCACAGATACCACCTGAAATAGTAATTGTTCTCAATAGTTCTTGATAATTTTCATTGGACAAGAAGTTCCACTGGAAGAGCGATAATGTATAAAATACTACCTTCTTAACCAGCCGCTATCTTTAAAGCCATTTTAACTGAATATCATTATGTTTGAAGTATTTGTCTATGAAGTTCCTACTTAACCATTATATCCATGCCATCCTAACCTACAATTGTGAAAGGATATTTTAGGAATCACATAATTTCTTGTATGATTCCATAGTTCACTTTGTTATCATATTTTAGGTATTTTCAAAACTTTCTGAGAATCAAATTACATCTCCAGAATCGATCCTCTCGAAAGCTGTGCAGTTGCCTTCAAGTCAGTGTTTACCAGAGTTACAGTTTACTCTTAACTCATTGAATAATAGCCAAAATGATATAACCTCTCTCCAAATCCCTCATCAGCGAAATGATACTTCATGCAACAACAACACATCTATGGGGTCCAAAAAGGACCCTCATATTGACGAACCGAATGCTAATAGAAATGCTACATATAACGTCAAAATTAATACATCTGTTACCTCTTTAGAGAAATCTAATGCTCTCTCCGATACACCAACCAGTGCTCTTCGTCATCTTGTCTCCACGGCAGCATCTAATCTTGGTTTTTTAACGCTCGAGCCAAATGTTACTTCGACTACCACCTCTCTTGTCAGCACACCAAGTGCCCGTCTTGAACCACCTCTTCTACGTAGCACTTCTCAACGCAATTTGTATCCTACGCCCAGTACCCGCCACAACCGTGATTCTCTCTCAGTATTGAGATCAAATTTGCAGTTTTTCAATCCTGCTTCTCAAAGTCCTGGCATGTTGACTTCTTCTTCAACACCGAGACCACTTTCAAGTCAACAAACATCTACGGGGTGTCGAGCTATCGAAAGCACCACTTCTGTGGACATATCTACGGGTGGACCTCGAACAAGATCCCAGGTGGCAGCAGCTGCAGCTGTAGCTAGAGCTTCTGGGATTCAGAGAAAGTCGAATAGATTTTTAAGAAGTCGAGGTCAGAACCGCAAGTTAGATTCTAAATTACTACTATCGGACTCTACAGGAAACTCTGCAAACGTGCAACCTAAAATAACCAGTTCAGGCGTATGTCCCGACCCTAGTTCCCTTAAAAATATACATACTTCTATAAATGAAGGTGCACCAGATTTTGGATGCAGCAATCATTATAATGCACCCTTGTCAATCGATGCTCCACCTATAACAGATGATCCGAGGATACTCTCACTACAGCAGTATTTAAACTTGTTAAGTCAGCTTGGTAAAGCTTATCAAATGTTGGTGCGACATCAGTGGCGTTCAGCTACTCGCCTACTTTTAAAACTTCCAAGCTCTCAACTTCATACTGGTCGTGTTTTGGCGTGGGCAGCTCGCGCTCATATGGATAATTCAGATTATCAAACAGCTCATAAGTTGTTCAATGAAGCTCGTCGTATAGAACCATGGCAGTTATCTGGAATGGACTTCTACTCGACAGTACTATGGCAAGTCCAAGCTGATCAGGAATTATCACAATTAGCTCATGATTTGTTACAACTTGATCGTAATGCTCCTGAACCTTGGTGTGTTGCAGGTAATTGTCTCTCTTTGCAAGGTGAACATGAAGCGGCTATCAAATTCTTTCGCCGTGCACTTCAGGTGAATAGTTTTTTTAGTTCTCATGACCACAACTTAATTCATATTTTTTGTGTATGTTTACTGCTTTTGCCCATTGGGTTTGTTTCTCAATACATGAAATTTTATTTATTTAAACACAAATATTGGTACAAATGAGCACCAGATATATATGCGCTACACAAAACTCATTTAACTTGTGTGAGGGCTGTGATACTGCCCAGGTACCCAAAATAAGGCAGGTGGTTTTCTTAGGGGGCCACACCCGGAGCCTTTAACCTAGAAGCCTAATCCACAAGGCAGTGGAGCATCGTGAGGAGATGCAGTCCCATGGTAGCCGGTGACCAACAATTGGTTCATACGCCATTTGTTCCCTCATGATACTGGAACCCATGTGCACCATTGTTTGGGAATGAGGGTTTTCCAACTCCTCTAGGTGGACGCGCCGAGTCCACCGACCCGGTTAAAGTGCTGGACATTCGCTTTTCGTCCTCTGAATTTCGTAAACAACAGTAATGTCACAAGAAGACAGTGAGTAGGACTTGTGTGGCATCTGGAGAGGGAGAGCGGACTTTCGGCCGTACCAGGGCATTACATGAAAACGTCACATCCATGGTATTAAACATGCAGAAATAAACTGAAAACTGGAAAGGCTTATTTTCAAACAACCTGTATACACAAATTCAGGGAAAATTAAAGTTATTCTGTGAGGATAATATTCCATATACAGCGATTCCTTTACATTGTATCTGTTTCAGTTTAAGAACATAAGTTGTTTTGTAGCTGTACTGGTCCTCAACAAATGTATTCCCTTTTAATTAATGAAATTAGATAAATAATATTAACAAAACATTTCTAGATTCACCTTTTATATCATTAATCCTTACCAAGTTACTTACAAGCTCGTCAGTTTACTCAATTCTTTTTACTGATGTTCTGAACTTTAACTGATTGTCATGTCGTTTATGCTTTCCTTTTCTAGGTTTCACCTACAAGTGCTTATGCTTGGACACTTTTGGGTCATGAACAGTCAACTCTAGAAGAGTTTGATCGAGCACTAGCAGCTTTCCAATTCGCCTTAAGAATTGATCCAAGACATTATAATGCTTTGTTCGGCATCAGTAATGTTTATTACAAACAAGAAAAGTTCGATCTTGCCGAAAATTACTTGGTTCGCGCAGTTGCACTTTTCCCTCAGTCACATTTACTTTTGACTCATCTTGCAGCCTTACGCAGTCGACTAGGTAGACTTGATGATGGGTATGGGAGCGCAATGGATTTGATTAGTCGTGCTTGTAAAATTCAACCCAACAATCCTCTGGCTCGTTACCACAAAGCATCTATTTTATATCATCTTGGACGTTATTCTGTAAGTCTTAGTAAATATAGATAATGAATAGGTTGTATTCCGTGAAGTAGTTGAATTAATCTGTTTTCAAGATTCACTCATACTGGCTTTGTCAGTAGATTTCAAACCCATTTGTCAAAATGAGTCAGTAAAAAAATTAATTTTTAATCAATTAAATAAACACATTAAGTACTTCGATATAAGCCACAATCTGTGAAGATGAAGCTTACTTTGTTTTCATATAAAATACCGGTCCTATCAAAAGTTCCTTGTGCCTGTATATTCTTAGTATCGTTTAAATACGTGACCATGAATTTACTGACTTATCTGATTTCTGGTTTTTCTTCTTTGATTCACCTACGCATTATTCTAAGTGAATACATTAATTAGTCATTTGGGGAAAAAGTTCATTGGAAAAATATCTTCAGGTCTAAAAGCAATTGTTAGGGTGGTTTTACATATGAAATTCTCAACTTTTTGATGTTTATCTTTAATCATGGACTGTTAGATATTTATAGTATAACTTGTCATGGTGATTCGAATATGTTTCTGATATTTTGGTATTTTATGGTCCTTTTTTGATAGTTGAAATCATGAGTCGATTGAAGCTAGACCACCATAGCCTCTGCCAGGGAAATCCTACTCACTGCCTTCTCGTGGCGTTACTGTTGTTTACGAAAGTGAGAGGACGAAAAGCGAATGTCCGGCGCTTTAACCGGGTTGGTGGACACGGAGGGTCCACCTAGGGGAGTTGGAAAACCCTCATTCCAAAACAATGGTGCACATGGGTTCCAGTATCATGAGGGAACGAATGGCGGACGAACCTGTCATTGGTCAACGGCTACCATGGGACTGCATCTTCTCACGATGCTCCACTGTCTTGTGGATCAGACCTTTATATCAAAGGCTCGGGGTGTGGCCCCCTAAAAAACCACCTGCTTCAGTCTGGGCACCTGGGCAGTATCACAGCCCTCACACAAATCGAATGAGATTTGTGAGGCACATATTTATCTGGTGCTTCATTGTTCCAATATTTATGTGTTTAAATAAATAAATGATAAATACCATTGAAAACCTGGAAGCACTGGACAGCCGTTTCGTCCTATTATGGGACTCCTCAGCAGTGCGCATCCACGATCTCGCACTCGCGAGATTCAGATCCAGGACCTACCAGTCTCGCGCCAGAGCACTTAACCGATAGACCACTAAGCGGGCATCCAACGGTGTTAATGTTTAACTTCAAATGATCCACGATTTTGAGCGACCGTTCACCAATTGTCTTCAGTGAGTTGATATCTATACAACAGACTTGGTTGTACTCCACTGGTCACTGCTTCTCACTAGAACTCCAAAAAATATCTCTTGAAGTCAGTTACTAGTGAGCATATTATTACAGATCAGACTATTTGACCAGACACTTTGTTTTCTGGTCGCTTTTAGCTAAAACCGAGTGGGTTATATTACATCAATGATGTATATATTAGCAACAATATAATCTGTAGTCACTAAAAATTAAAATTGTAGAGCTCAACGTAATGGAATAACGATTGTACCTGTTAACGGTAAGCTTCACTCTGAAACTTTTACATACATTTAAGTTCCAAATTCATCTATCCAAATGTTTATCATGTTTTCTGCTTTATACAGTACCATATCTCCTACTTCCCTTTTAGTGGTATGATGATTTAATATCAATTATATTAATGGAGATGGACCCAAATGAAAATAATTTTAGATTTCAATATGTCATTCCATTCATATCATGTCTCATTAAATGAGGTTTTTTCTATCTTAAATTTTATCTGATGAAAATTTTCAAGTACTTTACATCACTTGTTTTCTTTTTAATTAGGAAGTATTATCGGAGCTTCAAAAACTTTTGGTTTTAACTCCACGTGAGGCCATGGTTTACTTGATGATTGGTCATACCTACAAAAAACTGGGGAATACACCACAAGCAATGATTCATTACTCATGGGCTATGGAGCTTGATCCTAAGGGTGCTAACAGTCATCTGAGAGATATAATGACCAATCCACCAATTTCAAGTCGCGGCTTGAATCGACAAGACACTTCCGAGGGCCAGAACACGGGCAACTCGGCCAGACCACATTTCAGCTCATTTCAAATTGGTGTTTGTGCTAACTTCGAAGAAGAGGATGGAAATGAGACCATTGATCGGGCTTCAGGAGCAGACGAAGAAATGGTAAACAGTTTACTTCATCCATCACAAAGTGTAACTCGTTCAAACTTAGTTCGCCGACTGACTGATTTCTCGTTACTGTATGAAATGGAAGGATATGAACGGGACCCTGTAATATCTGATGCAGATGAAGAGCACTATGATACGATGGATTTGAGTGGTGGAGTTGATAGCAGAACTGAGCGTAGCATACCAGACGATTGAAGCAATTGCATTCATCTATTCTTATGTGATATTGATAAAACACCACTTTTTATTTCCATCCCTTAATTTTGGTCAGTCTTATTTACTTTCATATAAAACATATACAAGTTTCGATTCAAAGCCAAACGTGTATAAAGTTTTATTGCACATGTGTTGTATCGAATTTTCATATAAATATATGATCATCACAAAACTAAAATCTGTTGTACATATGTCTGTTACTTTAGTTTGGGTAAAAAATATTCAGCTGCAATTCTCACACTATATTTAAGTAATACCTGTTTAGAAATTCCATCATCTATGTAGATATTTTGCAAATCTATACCGGCTAAAACAGTCAAGTTCAGCTTTTCCAATACTCAGCTTCATTGCACTACCTACATACACGGGTGGGGTTTTGTTTAGATGCTATAGAACACTAGTTCTTGCTTTAGTATAATGTCGCTCAGTTATAGATGATGTAAGACATCACATCAGCACAGCCAAGAAAGAAACTAGCAAGCTAAACAGCAAAAATGGAAGAAAGTAGCCTGTTAGATCATATTATTAACTTGGTCATCTATCATATGGACAGGCTTGATCAACTCATCTAGATTTAAATTTCCTACCGGATTTTCATCCGTGCAAAAGTGCCTTTCTAAAAGTAGTTTTTATATACCGAAGAGAAATACATCCAACTCAAATAAGTTAGAGCACCAACTATCTAGTTAATAGTAACTTGAAATGTGAATTTTCCATGTGCATTACTGACGGCTAGGCGACACTTATTGTAAGGCGAACATTCTTGTTTCAGAAATTTAGTTTGAGCCTGTGACTATCTTCGTCTATATCATATGACATTCAACCACCTGGACTTAATATTGTTGATAAGAAATAATACATTTTTCCTCTGCGTATCAGTCTCAATGTAATCAAGTAAGTGTCAAAACGTTATGTTTTTACTGTGTCAAACCCAATACAATCGTTTTCCGTTTAAGATAAGCATACAGATGATTTATTTTATTAGTGAAAAGTGGATGTAATCTGTCATTTCACAGTTTTTGTTTGCGATTCTGGGTTTCGTAGAAGCTTAGTTTTGATTCAAAAACACTTTACAGAAGAAGCTTTAGCGCTGTGGAATAGAAAACAAATACCAAAATATGAGCTATACTTTACTACTACTAGTCTATCAGTCAAGGATATACATGAAATTTATCATCAGAAATACTGTTTTAATATGAATTCTGTAAAGCCTGGTACTGTCTCGTATTCTAAAATAAAAGACTTCGGGATCTGCAGCTTAAGAAAGTACTTAGGTGGTACCGTAAACTGGTCGAACTAACTTGTCGCGGTGAGTTATGTTGATTGTAGGTTGAATGAACCTTGTAGGTTACTTGAAGAGCTGACAGCAGTGAATATCACCCCGAAAACAAATGGTATTCAGGGGTTTGATATCAAAACTATGTTAAGTTTAATTAGTATCTAACGCCTTTTTAGATAGTCTTAAAGGCCTTACCTTCATTTGTTTCTACTAAAGAACAAGTGTATTCGTCCCGATTGTTATCTTCCGAGTACGACGTTTAGAAGGATTTTCTGTCAGAATCATCTACTTTGTTCTTTAAAGTCTTCAAACTGTAAGACCAAAAGCAGGAAATTCCAGGAGCGAAATCGTTCTATTAACTGTACTGAACTGTTGTGATAAGCTGTTACTGTCCATAGTTAAGTTTCAAAAGTGCAATGAAAATATTAGGAAATGCGCATGTATTCGTTAGGAACATTTTTTTCGGTCTTTGTCTACATTTCCAGGTTAGCTAAACTATCGACACTAAACCAGTTCTCTTCAGGTCATTTAGGATAAATAGCTCCTTAAGTTGGGTAACCAGTAATTACTCACTACCAATGTATTCAAAATTCCATTGTAAATTTCCAGTTACTATCAAACACTGTAGATTATTTTTTTACGTAAGTCCAAGATTCCCCAGTTCTTTGATGTCATCTCACTAGTAAATATTTTGAGTAATTATATACGTTTCGTAATAGTATCGAATTAGAGTCTAGATGAATCTTTAACCAAAAGAACCGAAATTTGGTATTTGAAATCTGTGTTTCACAACAGGAAGTGACAAAATTCAGGGATAGGGAATACATGCAGTCAGTCAAAATGAGAGAGAATAAAATACGCGTATCAAGCAGTGGTGGGAGTTACGTCAGAATGAATAACTATGAGTAACATTTATACTAATAAAAAGATAACGATTTCCACATCTTTTTGGTTAAGTAAAAACAGCTCGTACCAATATCAGACTGAGTCAGGGTGGTGGGCATTTCAAGATCAAGTTCGCTGGGAAATGTTTTATGTTAGCAACTTACATGTGTATCTGTTTGCCAAGATTCCTAATTTAAATGTTTTCAACCTCTGATCTGTCCGTCTCGAATACCGCCTTGATAGTAGAATTAAATAGTATGTTCCATAAGTAGTTATTATTTGACAAGAGTTGTAGGAGTTTATCGTTTCCAAGGTCACTTTTGATATAGGAACTTCTTTAAACGCATTCAGGGAATTGAGGCTATCTCTCAGCAAAAAATTAATATTTGTCTTTACTTTGGATACGAATCTAAGTAAGAGACGTTAGTCCAAACTGCCCTATCAACTATATACTCACCACTACGCTATGTAAATTAAAAAACCTAAAATTCACTTGAAGATTGTATTTATCTTTGAAGATTAGGAACTCAACTCCTGTTGTCCCCACACATTTGTGGCTATCTATTGTTAATCATTTTTTGCCTTCTTGTCTTGATGTCAAGAAATTATTCCAGATTTATTGGATAGGCACTCCTTCGATATAATTTTTCTGATCATATACCAGAGTGTAGGAAACATGTGAAACTAATTAGAAAACAACCAGATGTAACTTGCTATCGTCGTTTATTTGTCTAAAATGTGATAATGGAATCGAACGCGAAACGGTCGATCGGTACGTTTATCTCCAAAATAAGATAATACATTAAAATGTATTGAAACTAAAAGGGACGTTCTAGGTATATAGTTTTCTTCAAGACTAGCTTCTTCTTCACACTGCAAGGTTGTAGATATTAGTTGTTCTAAACTTCAAAGACTTAAGTCTTTAATTACTTTATTTCCCGAGTGGTGATCTCTAGCGCTGCTGAAACTATTTTTGCTCCGACAGAAACTGGTTTAAGTCTATCATTGCCTTTTTATTATCTTTTTAGCCCCATTTACAGTAGTTATCAGAAAGAAAGGAGTCAAGTAAATAACAGTTATGAGATGTGTGCATTTACCGAGCAAACAGGATTTTTTAAATCACTTCGAACCAATAATTTGGATCAATGTTGTTATTCATGTGAAATGTATGCATGCCCCGTAATCATCAGTTGCATAGTTCTACAGTAAAGTATTATCATCGGTATACACTTCACGACGCATATAAGTTGAACAAACGCCTGGTTGTTATTATTTCCATCTTATGATCGCACGAACAGCTTAGTTTTTTCATTCGTTCCATTTTATTGCACTCATAGTAGAGATGTGTAATTTGGATCCATTTTTAAGTAGTTTTGTTAATATTCATATCACTCATAACCTCACTTAGTTTGTATAATTCTTGTTTTCTACTGTTAAACGTTATTTAAGCTGTCAATTTAACTTTCTCGTTCAAATACAGATGTTACGCTAGTTACTAGTGAAAAAACACAGGATTCTTTACTTACACATTGTTGTCTATTAAGGCATTGTTACACAACCATGTTTCTAATCTAACTGTCATACATTTTTACCTGGTGTTCCAGTCATCTTTCCGCTTAATTCTCTGTCATAATATCCCGGTGTATTTATTAGTTCGGATACAACACTCATATATATGAGATATCTTGATTGTGGAGTTATTTTGAACTTATGATCATCCAGCTGCCTGTTAATTGCAAGTAAAACTGTATAGATTGTATTCTGCATAGATATTATCAAAAGGGTTAAAATTCCTATGATATTTATGATTACAAATACAACTAAGCCAACATCAGCAGTGTATTCAAATTGTGATTATTTGAAAATATATTTTATAAATGTCTCCAGTACTTTGTATGTACCACTCATATTCTACTAGTTTAGCTGCTACATACAATTTTCCGAATGTGAGGAAACTTCGGAGTTTTTCAGTCTCTGGAAATTGTGAGAAATCAAAAAGCCAGGGTAGCACAGTTTGACGAAAACGGATTCCTTACGTAGGAGATTATTTGAACCTTTAATGCAAAATTACAATTATGGGTATTGTTCATATATACATTAATACTTACTTACCGACGCCTGTTACCCCAAATGGAGCATTGGCCACCGACCAGCATTCTTCAAACCACTCCGTCCTCAGCCTTCCTTTATAGTTCTATCCAGTTCTTGTTCATTCTTCTTATATCTCTCTCCATTTCTCAGCGTAATGTGTTCTTTGGTCTTCATCTCCTCCTTTGACCTTCAGGATTTTATGTGAGGGCTTGTTTTGTGACGCAGTTGGCTGCTTTCCTCAATGTGTGCCCTATCCACTTCCAGCGCTTCTTCCTCATTCCTTCCTCCGCTGAAATCTAATTTGTTTTCTCCTACAGTAGCTTGTTTCTCATAGTGTCTGGCCAACGGATCCGAAGTATTTTGCGTAGACAACTGTTGATAAACACCTGTATCTTCTGGATGATGGTTTTCGTAGTTCTCCAGGTTAACCCATCATACAGTAGAACTTTCTTGACATTTGTATTGAAAATTCTGGCTTTGGTGTTGGTTGACAATTGTTTTGAGTTCCAGATGTTCTTTAGTTGTAAATATGCTGCTCTTGCTTTTCCAATCCTTGCCCTCACATCTGCATCAGATCAACCGCGTTCATCAATGATGCTGCCCAGATATGTAACGGTTTTCACATCCTCTAAAGCCTATCCTTCAAGTGAGATTCGATTGGTGCATGTTGTGTTGCATCAGAGAGTCTTGCTTTTCCCTTTGTTGATATTGAGACCTACTGCTGCTTAGGCTGCTGCTACACTGGTCGTTTTCTCCTGCATTTGTTGTTGCGTGTGTGATAGAAGAGCCAGATCATCTGCAAAGTCTAAATCGTCCAGCTGCATCCTACCTGTCCACTGTATCCCATGCTTTCTTCCAGATGTTGACGTCTTCATGATACAGTCGATCACCAGGAGAAAAAGAAAGGGTGAGAGTAAGCA